GTTCCTTGCCAGATGATTGGTATTTCGCGTAAAATTTGTAGTTCTTCCTCATCAGGCAGTGCGTGTCATGTGCTATCAAGGCGCTCTCGCATAGTGCCTGACAATTTACTATCTGTTGATCACGATTCTGATCAGCCTTTGGAGTCGTCCTGCATAGTTCCCCGATCAACTCCACGGTTCAGACCAAGCGATTCATGTGAGTGCAAGTACTCTCAAGCTGCAGGCTAACGCAGAGTGGTAGTCTCATCCCTAGTATTTCAGTGAGCGCAACTGGCACCTTGGCATGGCCTTCAGACCAGGATGACTGCCACATGACATATGCAATCGTCTTCTGCACTATTCCATACTAAACTTCCGAGCAAGTCAAATTGCAGCCAACTCTCTTCATGGAGAGCAGCGTCGAGATTTTCATTGCCCGCGTAGCAACATCATCACGTTCCTCGTCGCTGCGGCGAGTATCCGTTAATGAGGGCTCCCAGTCGACCGCACGCATACTCTTTCAGTGGCCATCATGCAAGTCCGTCATACACTGGGCAATCTCAAAAGATGGGCGGACCCCGGCAATAAGGAATCGGATCAAGCACCTATCAAGGCTTGCTGATCTTCTCCAGGCCGGGATTTACACGTTGTGAGTATCTATGGGGGACACTCCTACACTCTGCTCTCATTAATGACACTATTAGCCAGGTATTGTGAGAAACAAGTGGTCGAGAGTGTACACTGCCAGTCACCATTGCCAGTTATACCACTCGTCCCCACCTTCTCGGCAATCTCAATCCCTCGATTCATCATGATCGAAGGACTAGGATCAGACATTGCTTTACAACTGTCTCTGAGAATCTATGCGCCGACTACATAGAAGCATGGAAAACTTGTGTGGCAAGGATGTCGCTGATACTGGGCGGGTCCCGGCTGCAAAGCAGAATGATCATCTACACATATGCCTGCACAGCCAAATCTCATCATTGAAGCTCTATTTTGTTGAGCATGGACAGATTGGCTCAATCCCATTTCAAAAGAACGTTTCTTGTCCGGCAGTTGAGACTTGGAAGCAGTGGGGGGTGGGTGTTGGGACCTCCGCGGTGGGCCTCGATCGCATGTGTCACACTCAACAAGTGGGAACAGCCATGGCTGATGGCAACAAGAAAAGAGGGGGGAGTTCACACCGGTCTGATGGATCGAGTCACCGATTGTCGCTGTGCAAAAGTGTCTATGATGAGACGGATGAAGGTCTCTGTTCCCTTCCATCTACGGCTGGTTTATCTCCGGTATCGGATGTTTTGGCAGGTAGACAGAGTGAGTTACTGAGGTTGAATTAACGTTGAACTAGAAAGTTCGGGAGCAGTTGAGGAAAGAAGCTGAAGTCAACCAACAGCCCCGTTTCTACCCGTCCGAGGGCCAAAGGAAGAAAACTGGCAATGCTTTCTTCCGAGGAATAGTCCGAGGAATTACGTTTTTTTTTATTTTTATTTTTTTTTTATTTTTCTTGTCATACATTGAGCTGGATTGTCACGTAGGTTTGTCTGTGAGACCTACTGCTTAGAGCAGTTACCAGGTAGAAAGGCGAGTAGTTCAAGAGTAACAAAGTAGAGAAGCCAAGCATCGAAAAGGGTCTGGAACCGACCGGGCCAATGGTTCCTCCGGCAGGTCCCTCTTTTATCCTTTTACACTTTTTATCAATCAATCAATCAATCAATCAATTAATTAACGATACGGAGAGCAACCGCCCGTCGCATGCAAATTCCATTGACTTTTCGCCTGCCTTTTTGCTTTTTCCCTCGGCTTTCACCAAGCTTTTTTCTTTTCTGTGTCTCCTGCAGGTTATCATCGTCCCCTTTCTCCCCTTGCTTAAATAAAAAGCGTTTGCCTCGCCTCTTTTTGTCATCAATTCCCGAGCTAGCCATCATGTCCGTAGCACTGCAGGTACGTTGTCTGCGCCTCCCCACTACATTCCCAGCGTTATCGCAAGTTTATTCGTGCTCGAGCTGCATCTCCTCCCTCCCCTCCTTTGCCAAACCCAATCACAGTAGCCTTTTCAGACAGACCAGGGACTGACCATCTCCGATTCCATTCCAGGGCTGATCACTGCCATCTTCTCACCGGACAACCCCGAGTTCTGTCTCCCCCGACTCTGAGAATAATAAGTGCGGGGTTCCCAGCTCTTTCTTTCCCCCTCGTGGCCAAAAACCAAACCACCATCTCTTCCTGTCTGGACTCTTCATCACTTCTACCACCGACAAACAATCTTATCCTTGCACGTGCAGTCTAGAGTAAGCATCCTTAGTAGTGGCATCAATCGCGCGCCACTACTGCTTCGATTCCCTGGTCCTCCACAAGGATCACCGTCCCAAAGTGGCCCTCCTCCGCCAAGATGTCCCTCGCAGAGTCCAATCCCGACCACTCCCACGGGGTGACCAAACAACCCAACACAGAGAGCATTCACGAACGATCGCTCGACAGCCGGGAGGGTGAAAATGATCTGGAGACAGGCAGTGAGCCCGAGTCCGAGGCCGACCTTGCCGAGATCGAGCGCATCTATAGGTGAGTTGAGTAGCTCGTCGAACTAGTAGCACTAGTGTGTTTGCTATCCTGCATCGTCTAACATAACATGACATGACATGCTAACTTAAACCGAAACCCTTGCAGAAAGCTAGATTTCCGCATCATTCCCGCATTCTGGGTGCTCTATTTCCTTTGCGCGGCGGTGCGCTCCAATGTCGGCCTCGCGCAAACCATGAACGAGAGCTCGGGGCATGATCTGGGCTCGGTGCTGAACATGACGCCACACCAGATCTCCACCGCTCTCGCACTGTTCTACGTCTGCTATGTGATCTTCGACTTGCCCTCCAACTTGATCATGACCCGTCTGAGTCCCCACGTCTGGATGAGTCGGATTGTCATCAGTGTGGGGATCATCGGGAGCTGCATGACGGCTATGAAGGCCGCCTGGAGTTTATAGTATGTGTTTCGTGCCCCTAGGGCGGGCGTCTTTGTCTGTCCCCAGCAGTCGTGCTAATAACATCTATCAATCAGCCTCCTCCGTCTGCTCTTGGGTATTGTCATCGCGGGCATGTGGCCCGGCATGACCTACTACCTGACCCTGTTCTACCCTCCCTCCCGCACCGGCAAACGCATCGGCCAGTACTACACGGCCGCCCAGGTCTCCGCGGCAGTCGTCGGTCTGGTCTCGGCCGGGTTCCAGAAGATGGACGGCGAGCGCGGCCTGGTCGGGTTCCAATGGATGTTCCTGGTCTACGGGGTGATCACCACCGCCGTCGGCTTTTTACTCCTGTGGTGGCTGCCGGACCGGCCGCTCGCGCCGGGCGCGGAGCCCAAGCAGCGGAAGTACCTGTGGTGGTTCCCGCGCAGCCCGCCGGCGTTGAGCGGCCGCGACGCGGAGATCCACTACCACGACCTCAAGCGCGTGTACCACCGGGCGCAGTGGACGTGGAAGGACCTGCTGAACGTGTTCCTGGACTGGCGCCTGTGGCCGCTGCTGATCATGTACTTTGGCGTCGTGGGCGTGGGCATCGGCACGCAGAGTTACGCCACGGTCATCATCCAGAGCATCAACCCTTCGCTGAACGGGATTGATCTCAGTCTACTGACTGCGCCGATTTGGATTGTATGCTCCCCCCCCCTCACACATAATCCATAACACCCCCCAAAAACTAACCCTCCCCCCCCAAAAAAGATGGACCTAATCGCCATCCTCCTCGTCACTCCGATAAGCGACCGCTTCCACCGCCACCGCTCCCTCTTCTTCTCCGTCCCCGTCCTCCTACAGATCCTAGGCCTCCTGCTGACCACCTACGCCGGCACGGCGACCAACTCCTGGCCCCGGTACGGGGGCCTGCTGATCGTGGGCTTCGGCCTGGGCCCCACCGTGCCCATCACCATGACCTGGACGACGGAGATCTTCCAGCCGCGCCACGGCGAGGTCGGCGTCGCCGCCGCCTCCGCCGTCGTCTCGGGCCTCGGCAATCTGGGGAGCATCATGACCACCTACGCCCTGTATTCCGGGTGGAAGAGCGACTACGAGGCCCCCGGCCGCGCCAAGTACCGCAAGAGTAACCTCGTCATGGTCGGCATCCTGTGCGCCAGTATCCTGGCGGCTGTCACCATGGAGGTGCTGCTGCGCGTTGTTGATGGGAAGAAGAATGCGGATAAGGAAGGCAGTCGTGCGGCGGTGGCCGCGGATGGGGCGGCCAGACGCGAGGCTAGGCAGAGGGGTCTGGATGGGTTGGGGGCCGGGTTGTTCAAGGTCTTTAAGCGGGGTGGTTGATGATGATGCGGATGTTGCTGATCGTTATGGTGTTGGCCGATGCATGGGCCTTAGGCCCGGGGTTGCAATGCAAAATGGGGTTAGACATCGAGCCTTGTAAGGCACTCACATGTATGGCTGGACGGGAATCGCATGGACCGCCGAGACGTGAATATGGACATAACCTATAAATCATTGTATCTAACTTTTATTACTTTATTGCGAATGTCGAGATTACACTTAAAACAGTTGATATTTATGGTCTGGGCGCAAGTAGGGCCAAGGGTGAAAAAGATTTGACATGTTCACATCCTGAGGATGTGCTTATTCGTAACGATTGATTATTTGAACACTATAGTACTGACCGTGGTTCCGGCCTTAAGGCTATTTGATCCTTCCAGTTTCATCCCCAGTTTCAATTTCAAAAAGACCGTCGTCGGTTCTCCTCCGAGTATCAGCCCTCTATGCCATACGTAACACATAACCCAAGGTAAGAAAGAAACATGCAAGACCAGCAACAGGACAACGAATGCATCAACAGGCGCTGGCACACGAGAGAGAGTTCGAAAGAAACTCCGAAGTACCATCATGAAGAGAGAAAAGAAGAAGAGAAATTCTATAGTTTGCTCTCCCATGACCAGGCTGCATCGCAATCTGACTCCATGTCGACGCCGGAGGGTATACGAGCGCTAAGATGAAATGTTTTTCACATTTGGAGTAAATGTGCTAGACGCACTTAGTTACCACCGCAAAGGGTCTCCACGATGATACCAGTAATTTGGTAAGGGCAGGCGTTACTGGCGGGACGGCGGTCCTCGAAGTAGCCCTTGCCATCCTTGGCGACCTGGCGGGGGATACGGATGGAGCCACCACGGTCGGCAACACCGTAGCTGAACTTGTCGATGCTGCCGGTCTCGTGACGACCAGTCAAGCGCTCCTCGTTACCCTCACCGTAGACGGCAATGTGCTCAACGTGGCGGGCCTCGAGCTTCTTCATGTAGGACTCAATAGCCTTCATGCCACCGTCAGCACGAGTGGAGGCGGTCGAAACGTTGGTGTGGAGACCGGCTCCGTTCCATTCACCCTTGATGGGCTTGGGCTCGAAGGAGATTCTGACGCCGAACTCTTCAGCGACACGGTGGAGGAGGAAGCGGGACATCCAGAGCTCGTCACCCACTGCGAAAGAGATTAGTACGTGATGATCGCGACTGCAACAAGACGGAATACTCACTGTCAATACCCTGGCAAGGGCCGACCTGGTACTCCCATTGGGAAGGCATGACCTCGGCGTTGATACCGGAGATCTTGATACCAGCGTACAAGCAAGCACGGTAGTGAGCCTCGACGATGTCACGGCAGTAAACCTTGCCGGTACCGACACCACAGTAGTAGGGGCCCTGGGCACCGGGGAAACCACCCTTGGGCCAGCCATAGGGCCAGCCATCGGTACCGAGGAGGGTGTACTCCTGCTCCAGACCGAACCAGAACTCCTCCTTGGCGTTGGCCTCCATCAGACGGGCAGCCTCGTGGCGGTGGTTGAACTTGTTGGGGGTTCCATCGGAGTCCCAGGTCTCGCAAAGGACGAGGATGTTTTCACCGAGACGGAAGGGGTCGGGGTAGATAGCAACGGGGCGGAGGTAGACATCGGAGTTGTCACCGGGAGCCTGACCGGTGGAGGAGCCGTCGAAGTTCCATTCGGGCAATTCATCAACGGACTTGGGGGACTTTGATAGAGTCTGTGGGGGGAAATATAATGATTAGTCATGCTTTCGTAGATGAGTCTATGAGTCACGTGAGACTAATGCAGGTGGATTGCAGGGCGGGCGTGCAGGGTCGGATCCCCGTGCGCAGGGCTTATCGGGAGCAGGAATCCCTCCATCCCTCGAGATAACAACCATTCTCTCCGCATCCCGCGCGATCCAACCCACACACTGCGCCACCTGCAATGGCGAAGGTGAAGGAATGTGAGAAAAAAAGATGGAGAGGCGTACCCTGGTCTTGGAACGAGTGCCACCGGTGGCATCGACCCAGATGTACTCAGCCTGGACGTTACCCCGCTGGTCGAGGGACATGTACTTCATGAGCTGTTGCCAGCGCACCAGTCAGTATGAGATTTCCTTAAAACCGCAATGCGGTTCAAGAAACATCTTGCAAGGTAGCAATGAGACAAGAACGCACATTCTCCGTGTTGGAGATGGTGGTTGATTCAGCCTGCAGTGGGAGAGAGTATGAGTCAGCGCGCAGTTCTTGTCGCTGCAGAGCATGCATTCAAACAAAAAAAAAATGACCGGGGCAGTTGCCAAACCAACGTAAGGGGTGCGTACCATTGTGAATATGTGTGTGTGTGTGTGTGAAAGATAGAAAACAAAAGGATGCTTTTTAGCGATTAAGCTTGCAGGTGCAAAGCTCGTAGACTTGGATTGTTCAGATCACAGTCGAACGACACAAACAGGACAATCAAAAGATTGATGTAGTGCGATTTATAGCGAGAGTGGCGGAAGGATCAAGCGTTGCTCTTGAAATAGAGAGAGAGTAAAGGATGGGGGGGGAGGGAGAGATGATAAAGTATGGCGGAGAGGAGATGATGGGATGAGAATGGAGAAAGTAAGTCACAACGGGAGTTTGGGTGGGGGGAGGATATCCTTTAAATTTAAGAGAATAGGTTTTTCTTTCGGGAAGGAGGGAGAAAAGGCGGCGGGCGCGTCTTTTTTTCCCATGTTCTGAATTTCTGAATTTCTGATTTTCTGATTTTCTAAACCGATTTAATCATTCCATTGATTCATTCAATCAAAACCTGTGGTCGGCCGGGCCTGGGGCTACCGGCAAAGAGTGAAAGTGAGTAAGAGAGAGGCAAAAAAATCCATTCCCAAAAAAGACCCAGTCCCACCCCACTTCCACTTCCATTCTGGGAAGAAAAAGTTCAAAAATAAACCTGGCTGTACTGAAAATTACCGTTTCGGTTGGGCACGGTCTTGGGACCTGGTAATTTATCACTCCATTCGTGATGCTCTGTCTTGCACTTGCAACTGGAGACGCACATCAATAATGAGGTTGCTCTCTCTACAATGATTGCCCTTACTCTTTCTTTCTTTCTTTCCTTCTTTCTTTCATTCCTTACTCAGTCCTACAGCTACAGACTCGACAGCTTCCAGAGATGGGACACATTTTCAACAGCACACTGCAACCAAGGCTGCAGGATTGACCAGGGCTCGGGGACGCCACCAGAACTGCGCCCGCATTCTATCAATGGGCCAGCCTCGACCACTCACTCTTTCCGATGTCAAGATTACCTACGCTGGCAGTCGTCGTAGTCATGTCAGTCAGCCCATCGTCAAGGGTTTTGTAAAATAACCATGACTGCCATTAGTAGTGTTCGTAGGCAATTGCGACTCTCCGTTTGATAGACTTTTCGAACTAAAGTTACTGTTAGGATGCAGCGGTCAGTCCAGCACGGATATTACCCGAACGGGTAATCTCGATGCGCAATTGAAGCTATCGAACGGACGGAACTGCCTGTCACACGCCATTAATCTAACCTCCCACACTACTATAGGTATCTTCCTCGCAATGTAATCCTATCTTCTTGGTTTCTGATAGGTGAGTCCTTTCGATGATAATGATAAACCAGGTCAGGCCAGTACCTACTGGCTAGTCACCATATCCTCATTCCAGGCCGGAAACGGTTGGGCTTCCCCAGATGGATCATCTTCGATGCTGGGCCCCCCACGCGGTGGTGATCTGGGTTCAGACCTGGATCCATCCATCCCTATCAGACAGACAAGAAGCACACAAGCACAGAAACACCGAAAGTACGATCAGACCTGAGAATTGGCAGGCCGCACCTCTTTCCATGTCGGCTGACCAGTCTTTCTTGACTTCCTTTCCCTCCCCCTCCGTCATCACGGCTGTGACAATGTCAATTCTTCGTCTGCCTTCTTTTTGCTAACCTCCCTATTCCTGGTGGCTGAAAGATAGCAACACGAAACGGTTGCTAAAACCCATTATCAATATCAAGCAAACGTCAGTCCCCATGCATATCAGCTGCAGGACCCGAATAGCTCGGACGTGACCTGCGCCTAATCGCAATGACCGGGGTTATTATTGGCAGAGCGCCATGGCATGGATAGGATAGAGTTGATACTTGATAGGAAGCACCTGAGAGGACACTCAGGTTGCCGCATCCTATCTTCCGTTGCCTTATCGCAAACGATACATGTGGCTGGAGTGAGACCATATTGTCATCGAGGAGCTGGGATCAAAGTGATCATGCTCTTCTTCAATCTACCAAAGAAGGGAAACCGAGGCAGCGATTTTGATATCACAGGAATCCGTACCAGGATGTTACCGCCGCACAAGATACCCCGATACGTACTGGTCAAACTGCACCTTGCGGTTATCTAAATTGAGAGGGATGTCTTATCGCTGACTGCCCCTCGAAACCCCGCCATGAGTCGCGTGGGTGGATCCTGGCGCGCCTGCCGGACTGAATGGGGGAAAAAAAGAGTTTTCATTTTAATCGCGCATGGATAGAATTCGACCGCGTCAATTCTCGATTTTTCCGTGTAGCGTGTCGGGAGCAGCGCGCACAGATCGGATCCAATCTCCCACCCCATACATGGTGGTGGAAAAACTTTGGGGAGGGAATTGAGGATACAATGTCTACCTATCCTCGTTGACAGCTATTACCCCGGGGAATGAATTGCCTGCCCGTACAGACAGCCGGTAATTCGAATACCACGCGGGCAACCCAGATTTTGCGTCCGGTGGGGCGTGGCAAAACCATTCTCGAAGAAAGCGTCACCATCACCGTCGTCACCCCCGAGACCGGCCATGTTTCCATGTTAACGGCAGTTATTTCTGGGTTCGGGTGACTAATATGAACAATCTGCCGAGTCACAGCCGTTCCCTGCCACCGCCTTGGGTGCAGGACGGCGAAGAAAAGGGGAAAAAGGTTCCTTGCACCGGCAAAGGGGGTAAAGTCAAAGGGGGGAAGGGAAGAATGGACGGGTGAACGGGGTGACAGCGCAGGGGAGAAGAGTTCTTGGTGAATGGCAGATGGGTGGTTCCAGAGGGAAGAAGCCCTTATCCATCCAGCTATCCCTGTCTATCCCCCAGACTTTTCGCTTCTCTGTGAGTACAGTGCGTACTGTACTTAGTGGCGACCCTCATCAAGTCTCTTAGTGTCCGATCAAAGGGAGGGGCTCCCGCTGCATCAGCGTCATCATTATGGCTTGCCCTTCCCCAGGGTATTCTGCGACAAATGGCAACAGGGCTAAGCCGGGAGATTCAGGAATCCGGGCAAGAATGAGTGGCTGCCTTTCCTGTTCTCCTCGATCAGCCCTGTGGATGTCGTCAAGGTTCTTTCAGGCCTCCACCCGACGAGAGAGCCTCGTCCTTCTGATCGCTCCGATGTCATGGGCAACTCATCCAGCGCATCATAGCTCAATTCCACACAATGGCGGCAATAGTCGCAGAGCCCAAGGCGAGACAATGTTTCTATAAACAGGTTCCCGTATCGTCTGCGGAGGCGGTCAAAGCCAGGAATAGATGTCCAGAGGTTTCAAATCGCGACTCCTGATTGTGGCGCAGGCTCAAGAACCTGAGGCTTAGCAGTACGAGTACTTCGTACACAGTTACACCATTCCTGTCTCAACCTGGACCGCGGAGGTTATTTTGGTTTCCATTCATGACTATCGTGATCAATGACCGAACCGACACATCCAGGATTGCAAATTTGACTGCCAACAAAAACGAGCAGTAGTCGCGGTCAGGCACGAATCAACCCCGATTCTCGAGCCATGGCGTCAATTTCCAGCAAAGGGTGGAGTCGTGGAGATGCGCCCTTTCAAGCGACGAGTGCAGCATCTGGAAACAAATGGGGAAATAATCCCTCACCGGCCCAAAGCCACAGACAATCAGCTTATCGGAAACATGGCCACAGCCATGGGACCAGCTGTAGATCCCCGCCTCCTGATCAATCACCTTCTCCGCTGCCTTGACTCCTCTTATCGTCCACTGCCGATTGGCTCCCTGCCCCGGGTCATGACAAACGCTGCTGACTGGTGTCGGGCCGATTTCAGCCTGCGCAGGCAGAGGGGGTAGGAAGTCGTTTTCTTAGGGTCTCAGTAAGCTTAGAATTACGCTCGCTCACTGCGCGCGAGGGAGAGGAACCTCTGCGAATTTGGCTGAAGAAAATTGAGCCCGTGTGGCGGGTACAGCAGAAGTTGATAGGAGCTACAGATAATTGATTGTGCGATGGCCGGGCCGGCCGTCGGGTAAGGACTAATTTGGCTGGTGGATCTCATTATGGATCCAGACGGGGGGGGGAACAAAGAACACCTGATATGCCTTTGATAGTGGAAGGAATTAGCATAGTACTAAGTATATTGCAGTTGGTCAGCTTTACAGGGACGTGGGTTTTAGGGGAGAATTTGCAAAATAGCTCAACACATACGAGACACGATGATGGTGGTAGAAGGTTGGGTAGTCAGTGGTCGGTCGAGGTTCTAGATGTCGGACTGTAGAGCGGGTGTGGGATGACATGCATACTAGAGAGTAGTAAGCTGCGACGCAGACGCTGCAGGTCGAAACATACCCTGTATGGGTAACTTACGTCCATAGAATTTGCAATCCCTATTGTACTCCGTCTGCGAGACGCGTCGGAGATCTATATCCTATCCTCCCCTCAACAACCCAACAACCCTTCCACTCTTCCAACCACTCAATCCCAATTCCTGTACAGAGTAAAATCGAACAGCCACATCTCTTACCTCCCTGAAGAACTAACGAACTAACAAGAACCTCCACAATGCCTGACCCGAAGTATTCTCACCGTGTGTACATGGATGGTACATGGTACTACTGAAATGACAGCTCCCATTCTGATAGACCAGACAGACAGACCATGTTCAATTTCCGTTGCCCCTCCCCACTTTTATCCGGGTTGAAGACAGTATACGGGAGATAGGAACAGGAACAGGAACAGGAACGATCTACTTCTGTGCCGAATTGCTTGTCCTGAGTATTAAATTTTGAATTTGGTTTTTTCTAACTGCTGTTGTGGTTGTGACTCATTCAGCCGACGCGAGACGCGAGCGAGCAAGCGAACTACAGCACTGTCGTCCATGAACGCGTAGAGTCTGTGAGATGGTTATTAACGGAGTAGGTATTTGTTATATAAGCTATACACATGCTTCGACATGTAATATCCTAGATAATCATTATATAATTACTCCCACCGAGCTTATGCCTGAAGAATCGATCTAAACAAGCAAAATAGACACCCAATCCTAAATTCATAACTTATACAAAGTAGAAGACGATGCAAACTTCCAAAACAAAACTGAAACACAAGAACCAGCAGCAGCAGCAGCAGCCCTATTCAGTTTCAATTTCAAAAATACCTCTCCCTATAGAGCTAGGCAGTATATGTAGACCAAGTATCAAAAATAAATTTCAGGCCAAAACAACCGAAAAGCTCCATAGTTAGGCAGCTGTACGCAGACGAGACCCCCCATTTAGACTCATTAGACTACTACTAACTTCTAACTACGGAGAACGCTACAGGAATGAACACTTCCTGTACTGTACAGTGCAAGCAGGTCAAGGAGAGTAATTCGCGCAGTTGATCCAAATCACAATTCCCTTTTGACACCTGCATAGTCTGTAATTTCCTCAAACTGCTTCAAACAGAGAGTAACAGGAAAGAAAAATTCCCGCATTCTTCGGGAGAAATCATGCAAGACCACGAAAAATTGAAGGAGGAAAAAGGAACAGAATCGTTTGACAGCTCATGCTTCTTAGCTAGTAGTGTTTTGCGCGCGGGAAAAAGTGACCCGGCGGCGACCAATCAATACCTCCAGACACAAAACTGCTCTGGCAAAACTTAAACACACCCCAAAGCTCTTGCATTTCCATTTCCATTTCCATTTCTCCCCTTGCATCTGGTTGGGGGGAGGGCGGTGGTAAAAGTCCGGGGAGGATGAGGAATGATGGGCCGGGAAAACGGAAACGGGTGAAAATCCCTCATACTACCTACCCCATTTCAAACACTATAATTTGCGGTAAAGAGTGTTGGCTTGGTCTACAGGGTCAGAACTGATCGACTTCTGGCAGATGGGTTTGGTTCAGTCGACGACTCTGCAGAGATTGCGTGGAAATACTGAGGTATCAGATCAGATCACCTGCTGGGTAAGTTATCCTTCCTCTCCTTGCCTTACTCACGTACCCCGTACAGCCAGCCCCGTTATTGGGTCTTGCCGTCTTTCCAGGGACGGAACCTCCGACTCAGGGTCTTCAATCCTTCCCACAGGGCAGAAATTTGGGGGTCATGGTTCGGTTACGGCCGGTTTTTCTGGCTTCTTACTCGATTGTTTTCCAACAGTTGTTGCGCGTGCCTGGGTTTAGTGGTAACTAGGTAACTATTCCAGCTTACATAGTATGTAGTATCATGGAAGTAAGATCCTGTCTTATATTAGAGCAGAGCTAGTGACGTCCTGCAGGTACAATTGCCCATGAATCAATCATGTTCCGCCGGAGCGGACGGCCCATTTTGCAAATCTCAAATCTTGGTATCGTTCGGCTCGAGACTCTCGTATCCCTCTTGTCCTCGGCTAGTCCAAGGTCCCTAGGGCCGAGGGAGCAATCCCCACGCTGCACGATCTCATGGCACATGACGTGACGCAGCTCTGTGATCTCACATGGAACCACTGAGGAAGTCTCGGGGGTCTGAGCTGAGCATCGTCTCTTCCACATCCGGCTAGGCCCAGATTGCACCAGACGAGTCTCAGTCCAGTGCAGATCAGAGACGCCAAATGGGGATCTGGTGGCCCCCGTACGCCCCATGCAGACACTGCATTGGGACTAAATTTGAGCAACCGGGTGAAATGCTGCTTCCAGAATGGCCAGCAAAGCTTGTTCCAGCCTTCATGCACAAAGAGAGAGAGAGAGAGAGAGAGAGAGAGAGATAGGACAGGTAACGCATGGCCATCCCTATTACGTCACCGCCTCGTCCGATTGCCAATCGACAGGTCACTATCTGAAGACGATTCTTCCCCACACACCGTGGTTGCAGCGTATCCGTGACCTACCCCGGTCTGGGGGTTAGGCTATTAGCGGCTCTTGCGCTGCCGGGCCCATCGTAAAACCCACTCTACCAGAATCCCCAAGTCCTGCGAGACTTCTAATACCCTCGCGATGGTCTTCTGCAACTCGGATATCTCATTGTCATGGCCTCCGCTCGCTTGAGTGTCCATCGGATCCATACTGGTGTTCTCATCATCAAACAAACCAGTCATGTCGATGACGGACACGCGACCGTTGAGTCCGACTTCAAGGCTAACGGAGACTTTGCTCAGCACAGAATATTCTTGATCCAGTGTCGATCTCCCTTGAAGGTTGTTCACAGTGAACAGGAGCATGATGACCGGGGCTTGACCAAGCTGCGTGCGCAAGGTCACGTCTACTTTGACGTCATCCTCGGTGGTCGAATCATCATCAGAGCTTCCGTCCATAGCACCTTTCCCCTTGCCTATAGTATGAGCACCTGCTTGTCCAAAAGTTCCTGCTTGTCCAAACCCTCCAAGCAATGAGTTTAACCTCTTCTCGTTGGGATCGTCATTGCTGAGAATAATGATGTCACCCTTGGTTATCGTCTGCGATCTGTTGGCATTCGAGAGATTGAAGAACCCTTTGAAAAGATCTTCCTGTGCATGGATTTTGTCGTTGTCGGGCTTGGTCGTAGTAGTGAAGATGCCACGAATCAAATTCGCCAGGAACGCGTACTGTCGTAAGATCTAACGAAGAAATCATTAGTATGCCCTCATAATAAGCACAATAAAACACAGGATCCGTACCGGAAGTATATCTGCAAGCTGTCTTGGGTGCGAGAACGGAATGTCTCTCAGGGTCCGACCTGCGACAGATTCGAATGGCTGGAACGTGTAGCAATGCTGTTTCTTGCACGGCTTGCCATCTTTGTCAATGGTCTGCAATGACAGCCTACGGCTTCTGCGACCAAGCTGCGATGCTTCTTCCGGTCCCAGTCCCATCGCACCAGCCGCCGATAATGGCGACCAGCCAGGGGCCAACAGTCCATCGTATGTGACCATCTTGAATTCCGGAGGCAACTGCATGCCGAGATGGCGGTAGATATCTGACGCCGCCAAGATGGGGAGATCCAGCGGGGGTTCCATCCTGGCCACAAACCGGCGGTTGGGCGCAGAAGAGCCCAGCATGTTCGAGTCGAGCGCCAGGGCGTCCGAGTGGCCTTGCGCGGCCGCAATCACGGTTTCGGGGGGCTCGGCCCAGTTGACCACAACTCCCTCGGAAGACCCGGCCGACTCACTCGAGGAGGGACCATTCTCGCCATTGTGGACCGTTGTCAGAACCTCCGCGGCAACCCAGTCTTTCGACACGCGAAGAGATGGATATCCCTCCTCGCACTCGACCACAACGCTCCACTTGCCCTTTCGCGCGGCCTCGTCTTCCTCCGCCGGCTGATCGACGACCATCTCGTCGGAAGAGGCGGATTTCTGCTTCGCTTGCTTCGCATCCAGGACCCGCGCTTGCTGCACCCAGTAATCAAGGCCGAGCCCCACGCGACCCCCCTTGTGTAGAGACGGCCGACCAACCCAGCCACTGCAGAGATGATCGTAGACGCCCAAGAACTTGCGCTGATCCCACTCCGCCTCCCACACGCGCTTCAAGCTCTCATACAAGCCCTCGATCGCCTCAAAGCAGTTGACCTCCTGACTGAGTCTATCATGGCGCGCCAGCCACTGCAAGTTCTCATGGAACCCGGTCAGCGGCTTCCACGCGCCCCGCTCGCCGTCCGCGGGGGACTGGATCAGGTCGCGCTTCAGCACGGCCGTCGCCTCCTCGCGCTGTTCCCCGTCCGTCGACTCGGGCGTCACGTAGCTCAGACTCACCTCCTTGACAACATTGTGGCCGCGGTGGAACTCGATCTCGAGATCCACAAAGTTGCCGGCGATGCTGAGGCTGTCCTCCTGCCAGATCGACTCGAATCCTTCGAGCTGGCCCAGGCGCTCAATGCTCTCGCGGCAGACCCCGCGGCCCGCGATGCGCGTCCGCAGCAGCTGCACCACATCCTCAATGTGTCTCTTCCGCTCCTCGTCATTGTCCCGCACGCCGCCCCCGCCGCCCAGTTTCAGGCCCTGCATGCCCAGCGCCTGGATGTCGCTGTCGTTCATACCCGCGCCCACCAGGCCGCCGTCATGGCCGGCCGGCGACGGGCTGATCCCGCTGTAGCCGCCGAGCGCGAGCAGGGCCGACGGTGAGCTCAGCGTAACGGGGTCGTCGGCCCCGGTCGTCGCCGCGAGCGGGGTGGCATAGTGGTGCGCCGAGGCGTTGGCGGGGTTGCTGCTGTTGGGGGGCTGGATGTGACCGCCCGGTCCGGAGACGGAGGGGGTTCTCCCCGCGGGTGACTTGTGCGCGATGGGGCGGGCTGGATGCGCGCCAGCTGGATGAGGCGAGGAAGTCAGGTAGGTCGGTGTTGCTCCTGGGTTCGGCTTGGACGATGGCGTCGCCATGACGGGCTCTCTCTGTGTATTTCCTTTGAGAAGTCAAGGCCGGAGCAGAAATCGTAGTCTGCACTTTATGCGAACAAGAAGAGAAGGCAAGCTTAAAGGCGCGAAACTTGGATCCGGGTATCACAAAAGAGAATAGAACCACACTTGCTAAGGCAGAGAGCCATACGGACTCAAATCGTTCTTTACGCGGGAATGCAACCGGTAACGAAAAGAAGCAACGAGCCTTAGCGACCCTAAATAGTATCTGCAAGGAAAGTAACTCGACAAAAATAGAACATCAATTAAGAAGCAAGGACAGAGAGAGAGAGGGAGGGAGGGAGAGAAATCCCCCACAGAACCGCTAAGTTGACAAGGACGAGGAAGTGAGTTGAGTGAGTTGCCTTCACAAGGTCATTCATTCAATGCGGGCGGAGCTGCTGCTTCCAGCCCGCCCGAAAACGCGCAATCACATGAGTTTGTCTGGTTTGTTCTACAATCGTCATCGGCTCCGGGGGAGGACAAGCCTGCGCTTCATATATTGTTTCTACTCAATGTCCGAAGATACCACTAGGATCAATCATTCTTGATCCCTTTTTCCTCCCCCAGCATGTTCGCGCTTAGAAATTCAGTGCGTCAAATTCCGCGGTGGGCACAGATTCGCTCTGTGTCGACCTTGGAAGGCAACCCTCACATAGTAAGTGCATCCTTCAAGTCACTGGCGCAGCGTCGCGAACTTCAAGTAGAAGGCATTTTGCTTCTCTTGTTTCTCTTTCGTGCTAACAAACTCTTACAGTATGTATTCCCCAAGAATGGCACCAACATACTATCCTTGCTTCCTTCCGAGCCAACCAATCCCGATCTGGCCATCGGTGTATCATCCAAACTACCCCCAACGCCAGACACGTTCAAAGAGAACCCCAAGTTCCTGGAGACTTTGCAAGATGTCATGACTGAGCACGGCCACAAAGACCCCGACGCTATCTCGCAAGCACAGGTCATGGTGTCTACGTCAGGAGCCAATCTGAGCACCGGCGGGGTGCTTTTGACCGGGGGGCGGACGAGGAAACGCCGCAGCGAGGGCGACTCCAGCGGCGGAGCCAGTGGCCAAGGCGGCGCTGGCTCGGCTGGGAGAGGTGGTTGGATTCATCTCTCGGACAACCGACGGCCACCTGAGTACGGCCGTATCGCTTGGTATGGATGGTGTCCGGCTTGTGCTGTAAATCAACGACTGATGGCGTGAAACTAGGCCGGAAGATATCTTCGGGAGCTTGGAAGTCGACGGCGAAGGAAATTTCGTGGGGGGTAACGGTAACTACCAGTCGAGCGGTATGTACTCCGATATACGAAAAGCTCTTCACCGACCCAAGCTGACGAACCCGACAGGGACATATCGCGTGGTGACTCGGGATGGAATGTAAGTCATGCAAGCACCGTCATTCTGGACCCAAAACTAACCATGGTATAACAGTCTGGGGCTGAGCCCATTTCTGCGAGAAAAGCTGGTACAAAAGCTGCGCCAGCAGGAGACGGGATCATCTTCCGTCGGCGGTGACCATGTACAATAGACCCTTGCTGTCCTCATTGCCGTCTCCAACGACTGCACTGATCCAAAAACTGCTGGACAGTTGACACAATCTGTAAAATAGACTCGAAAAATGGAACAACGCCGCTCAGAGACCAGCTCATAATTGCAGATGACCCAATCCACGCCAAAATATACTTTGATGCCAAGCCAGATAAAAAAAAATCACTTTTGAAAGAAATTCGTTATGGGCTGAGTCCCTGCCGCCGCTCTCTTCTGCTGGGGCTTTTTGGCCGGCTTCTGATTGTGGGTTGCACTTCGCATCTGCTTTCCTCGACTTGGTGCTTGCGTTGGACTTGCTTTCTGCTCGGTGCCGTGATCCGGTGAGGCTGGCGGGCTAGGCTGAGTCTTCTGTCTCTTCGCAGCTTCATCCTCGACCTCCGCAGGACTCTCTGCCGGATGCTCCCGTTTGACCCCCGTAGCCGGCAGCGGAGCATTGTCCTCGGTCCACTCGGTGTCTACCGTGTCCCGATGGTCCGGTTCATCCTTGACGGTTTTGTCGTCTGATTCCTCTTTCGACGGTGCATCACCACTCTCCGGCGCAGCCTTTTTGGCATTGGCGAAGAAATTGGCAATATTGCTCTTGTTCTCCTTACTGCTCACCGGCACGATGAAGTCCGGGGAGTTGTTCCCCACCTTCCCAACCTCCTTCGGCACCTGGTAACACTCCAACTCGCCCTCGTACGGCTTCAACATGGCCTGCAATTCCTTCGACCACGTCGTCCGGCCCGGATCCAGCCACCGGTTCATCTCCTCGCTGTTAGGCTCGAGAATCACAGGCATCCGATCATGTAGAAACCTGAGGTACGAATTCGAGGATGTTGTAATGATCGTAAACGTATAGAGGTCTTCATCCGACCCTTTTCCCTCTCCCGTTAGCATTAGCATTAGCTCCAAACAACCACGTACAAACCCCCCCCCCACCCCGGGGGCTCCTGCAACAAAAGCAGAGAAGAAACTCACCTTCATACCTCACACAATCCCACAACCCCGCGAAACACATCAAATCCCCATCCCTCCGCCGCACAAAATGCGGCACCTTCTCTTTCCCCCCGGGTCCCTTCTTCAACCACTCAAAGAACCCCTGACAGACGATGACGCAGCGCTTCTTGCGCTTCATTGACGTCCACATCCCGCGGTCCTCGAGAAGCGAGTCATCCCGGCAGTTGATCGTGCGCATCAGCGACCCGTAGTCAGGTTTGCGCTTCGTCCAGAACGGGATCAGGCCCCATCGCATACTTTGGATTTTGTAGCGGGGGCGGTGGACTTTCTGCTTATCGGCACTTGGGGAGTGGGTGGTGGTGGGGTCTTGTTGGGGGTTAGTAGGGCTATCGTTGTCGTCGTGCTCTGGTGGCTGATGCTGATGCTGCTGCTCGTGCTCTGCTGCGCCAGAGGATGCTGTGTCCACGCGGTACACCGCGCCATTGTTCCCCGGAGCGAAGTTATATGTTTCGCGCACCTCGTCGTCGTCCGGGACTTCGTCGACGGGCATGCCCTGTTCTTGGAGACGGCGTTGAACGAAGTTCATGCGCTATGTGTGTGGAAGTTGTTTTGTGGTTAGCTTATCTTGGACCGAATACTTATTTGTTCGTAATTATATAGATGGGGTAGAGGTGGAGGGGAGACTGGGTGTATTGAGCTTACGTACCACGCCTAGTGCGTATCGTCCACACATTATGCTTGTGCTAGTCTCGCGCTCAACTTAATCGAAAACCGAAGATTATGCGAGGAATTTAGATAGAGAGACTCCCTCGGAAGAAAGACGGTAGCTGCGACGTCATGTCATTCAGTGCAGGGCGGCGGAGGAGAAGCTCGGACCATTCCGCTTTAGGTCATACAAAATCGTCCCGCCGACAACCTCCGCTCCGCTGCTTGTCTTCCCTCCCTCCCCATACACCTATCCCTCATCTTTCCCACCCACGGTTTATCTCCTCGAACATATCAATTGAGGAGACTTACCGAAGCGTCAACTCATCTCCACCAAAATAAACCCCCTGATATCAACACCAATACAGATACTGAAGACAAACCGCAACAATGCTCAGCACGCTCTCCCGGCGCGCCACCAGCGCCCTCCCCCGAATCCGCACCCTCACACCCCAGAATGCTCGCCATCCCTTCTCAACAACACGCATCTCCTCCCGACCACGCCTGACGGCCACGACGACGACAACGATCCCCCTCACCCTGCAATCCACAACCCTCACCACTCAACCAACCCGGCGCACGCTCACCACGGCCCAAAAATGGAAGCTGGGGTTCCGCAAAGCCCGCAAGGACATCTGGCGCAAGAATCCGATCGTACTCCCCTTGGCCCTGCTCTCTGTCTTCAGCGCCACCTGCCTGTTCGCCTACATCGCCTACGTCGAGGTGACGCAGGTCGCGCCGCAGTACAGCAAGTTCCCGCCGCCGATGGCGGAGCGGCTGCGCACGGCGGTCTACTACACGGACGTGGATCTGCAACCGCAGAAGGCGATGGCAGCGTACAAGGACGCGATCCACATCGGGCTCGAGATGGGGCTGCACCAGTACTCGGACGAGATCCTGGGGGTCCACCTGCAGGTGTCGCATATGCTGGAGAAGGCCGGTTTGGTCTCGGCGTCGGTGAAGGTGCTGGAGCAGACGCGGGCCGGGGCGCTGGCGTGGGTGTATCGGACGCGGCGGGCACGGTCGCTCCCGCAGAAGCCGACGGTGACCACGCCCGTGGACCCCAACGACGCCAGCAAGGAAGCAGTGGAGAAGCGGATCCGCCAGGCGACCGGCGAGGACGTCGGTGAGAAGGACGCTGTGAAACGGGACGACGAGCAACCCGGCGCAAGTACCCCGGATCCAGCCAAGGAGGCCGAGTTCCAGGCGTGGGAGGACCGCCAGCAGAGCAAGGTGCTCAAGAAGTGCGTCGGTATGTCGATGAAGCTGGCCGAGCTATACGAGAGCGACTACATGCAGGATCTGGAGAAGGCGGAGGAGAACCAGCGGCAAGCCGTGGAGCTCTGCCTGACCGAGATGAACCGTCGGGTGGCCCTGGGCCTCCCCGTGGGGAACCAAACAAAGGCAACACCAACAACACCAACAACAACAAACGCCGAGGCCAACGACGAGGACGATGGCTGGATGAACCTCGAGGAGATCGCCGTCGCCCTCAAGGACCTGGCCAACCTGTACTTCACCCAGGGCAAGTACGACCTCTGCCTGCCGCTGTTCATCCGGGCCAGCGACGTGATGAAGGCCGCGGAGAGCGACACCCCGACGTGCAAGCAGCCGTTCCTGATGGCCTCGATCGGCGCCACCATGGGCGAGATCGCCGCGGCCCCCAAGCCGGTTGCCGGGATGCGGGCCCCGCGCGAGCAGGTGATCGCGCAGGCCCGCCAGTGGCTCGACCAGGCCCGCGCCGTCGCGGGCAAGATCGACCCCCAGGGCCAGGAGGCGGAATGCAACGAGGCCTGCGTGGCCGCGCTGCAGAGTCTAGGCGAGCTGGCTCGGCTGGAGAAGAAGCCGGACGTCGCCAGGGAGCACTACAAAAACGCACTGAGCATCGCGCAGCGCCTGGACGAGCCCGGTCTGGTGGAGGGGGTCAAGGCGGCGCTGAAAGAGATCAAGACGCAGTGAATGCCATAGCTAGCTAGCCCATTTAACTGTTACACATCTCCCACATAAAAAATGTACATTATTTGACTCAGATAGTCTAAACCCAGTGCATGTATGTGCATCTAACAAACGTAACGAGTGTCTAGGGAGGTAAATCCTACGAAACCCGAGGCAACCGAAGGAGGGTAGGTTGTTCTGACCGCCCCGAGCTCCATGCCCGCGGCCCCTTCTGCCGCTTCGTTTTTGCGAAATCCGTGTAGATTAAGTAGTGGTGCTCGAAATAGGCGCGCGACGATCCATACAGTAGGCCGAAGTCTACTAGATGACACGGAAGTATTGCACTAGCTGGCTGGACTATGACTTCATCGAGAGAGTACGTATCAAGAAAGGGAAGTCTAGAATCGACTACGAGACCAATTACATTAGACCCCAGGGGGAAGGGGGGGGGGGGGGGGAGGGGCAGAGATAGAAGTTTTTAAACGTCTTTTAAATGGTATTCGAACAATCCACCTCTCATCCTTCACAAGATACCCCAGATAATCCGTCGTTTTTAAGACCACGAATCGAGTAGGAGCTAGACATGCTGAAGAGAGAGAAATGATAACCCGGGGAAAGAAGCCCAAATGAACGGGGTGGGTATAGAGGGGGGAGATTGGGGGGGCGGTGGGAATAGGGTGAGTGGGTGTTGAGTTAGAAACACCAGGCGGAAGAAAAACCCAGAGTGCTTTTTTATCATTTGCTCATGGCTCATACATCCCAAACCAATGCCTGCCCTGTTTTATTTTTGATCTTGGGAAAAAAAAAAAGAAAAAAATAACAAACAAGAGTTCAAGTTGATATTGTCTCTCTCTCTCTCTCTCCTCTCACACTTTTCCGCCCCGACCAAAATCCTAGTAATTAAGCTTTAAGGGTGGGTTTGAGCACATTTATGCCCGCGACATGACACCCCAGGCACGGATCTTGTTGTCAGTGTAACCAGCGAACAGAGTCTGGCCATCAGCGCTCCAGGCCAAGCTGATGCACTCGGGCTCGCGGCTCTTCTTGCCCTTCTCGATGAACTCGGGCTTGAGCTCGTCAACCTTGCTCTTCTTCTCGAGGTCGAAGATGGTGATGCTGCTGGCGGTAGCAGCGCACAGCCAGTAGCGGTTGGGGGAGAAAACGAGGGCGTGGATCTCGTCACCAGCCTGGAGGGAGTAGAGGTGCTTGGACTCGTTGAGATCCCAGAGCATGGTGGTACCGTCCTTGCCACCGGAGGCGCAGAGGGATCCATCGGGGGAGATGGTAACGGTGTTGATGTAACCGGTGTGACCGATGTGGTCGGTCTGGAGACGGCAGGAAGCGAGCTCCCAAACCTATTTGATGGATTGCGGGTTAGTCTTCATTTCAAAGCTCAGGCATTTAATGAACACAAAAAAAACCAATTCCACCATTGTCGCAACCACAAACAGCAAAACACAGGTCGATTGTCCATCAGGCATTGGGTGATTGTTTGTCTCATGGCCAGAAGGCTCTGAAGTAGCAAATACGTAGATATGCAAACATCCTCTGGACGAATCGAAGAAAGAAAAGATAACCGATGCGAGCCGAACAATGGAACGTACCTTGACGAGCTTGTCCCAACCAGCGGAGACGATGACGGGGTTCTGGGGGTTGGGGCTGAAGCGAACGCAGGAAACCCACTCGGAGTGACCCTTGTCGGTGATGGTGAACTTGCAGTCACCGAGGGTGTTCCAGAGCTTGATGGAGCGGTCACGGGAAGCGGAGACAATCTGGCGGTTGTCGGCAGAGAAAGAGACGGAGAGAACGTCGTTGGTGTGGCCGACAAACTTGCGGGTGGTCTCACCAGTGGAGAGCTCCCACAGGCGGAGGGTCTTGTCCCAGGAGGAGGACAGAGCGTAGGCACCGTCGGAGGAGATCACCTATACAAACGAAGCCCGCACACGGTCAGCCCATCATTGCTTCTTTCTTTCCTGTCTGACCCTGTCCCTGATTTCGAACAGCCTGAATTGGCAGTCGCTTGGCCTTCGGGTTGAACACGGATGCTTGGAGGATGGAACGGAGATCGGTAGCATACACAGTCAGAGACGATGTGAGAGTGGCCCTCAAGGCTGCGCTTGGGGTAACCGTAGGCCTGCTCATCGCGAGTAAGGTTCCAGATGATCAGGGTCTTGTCGCGACTGGCGGAGAGCAGCATGTTGGGGCTAGAAGTCACAAGAACAAGAAAATGTCAGAACTCATGTTGTCCATATCGAACTATTATTTTTTCTTCTCTCAACCTAGTGCGATTTTGTTGCCATCATTTCATGACTCCTGTTGCGGACAATCAAACAACCTATATATACCACTCCAAACCTCCGGTCTTTCTTTTGTGGCTTTTTGGGGCGCAGCATATATAAAATTGTTCCATCGCCCTGCACCATTCCTCGCAAAACTCGCAAACGAAAATCGCACTTCGGTTGAGGTTGTGTGGTAGTTTTCTTGGTATGTGTGTTTGGTGTGCCCTTACTTCTCCAGAGAGGTGGCAAGGGAGGTAACCCAGCCATTGTGACCCTCGAGGGTGCCGCGGAGGACCAGTTGCTCAGCCATGTTGGAGTCTGGGTGACGATGAGGAGAGAGGGATGAACGCGGGCGGAGCAATTGTCCTTGACTCTGGGCTGGGAAGTAAAAATGCACAGCAACTGTTTCGAGGATGGAGGAGACAGCGTGCCCGCCTGAGCCCTAACTAGCGTGCCCGCCCGACTGGTTGTTGTGCGCCTCGCCCAACCCTAAGCCGGGACAAGCGAGTCACGTGGCAGTATTGCTGACTCACCATGGCATAACCCTGTTATGCATCCTCCGCTCGACGATCGATCTACCCCGGTCTCCAACATTCCCCGGTTCAGTCAAAGTCCAGTCTACATGCATTGTTCAATTCCGACTACCAACATGCAACAAATCTGTTGTAAACGTAATATACATACTCAGAATACCAGTCCTAACACACCTTTATTTTATATAGTACACGCGAGCCTCCCCCTCCTCTAGTTAAACACCTGCACATTCGGCATCCTTCCCAACCCAGCACCCCCGGTCTTCTTACTCTTGGCCGCATGGAAGCCCGTGGCACTGTTATCGCGCACATGCGCCCGGAGCAGCTCCAGCACCTTCGATTCCTTCCACCGCGACGGCACGGGCCGGTAGGCAGCCTTGTAGGCGCCCACGGTCTGCGCCCACTCGCCGCTCTTGGCTCCAGTCTGCTTCCAGGTCTCGGTGACGGTGTCCTGGGCCCCCTGGGCCGTGGAAGAAGGGGACTGCTCCCCGCCATCGGCCGGGGGATCCTGCGTAGCCCAGTAGTAGATATCCCAGTCGTTCTCGTCGAGGAAGCGGTCGTATTCCTGCAGCTGCTCCTGGTCCATCTTGCCCAGGTAGACATCGGCGAAGGTCGACAGCAGCAGGTCGGACTCGAGGATGCCGCGCTTTCGGCTCTGATCTGTTTGCAAAAACCAATGTCAATTAGTGAACTATCTCTGACACGACACGCTCTCAGGGTTCGAAGTAGCAGCATGACGAGTAGAAACGTTTCACACGATGGGTAATATGAATAGTGCGGTCAGTAGAGAGGCAAGGGAAAGACATACACAACAGCCGAGCGCGCATGGTCGTTACATCCTCGCCCGATCGGCGGAGAGGCTCAACCCGGAAGGTAATACCCTCCATCTCGCCGACACCCAGCTCCGGCTTCTGGGCCCCGGTCTCCTCGCGCCCTCCGGTGAAATGCTCGACCTTGCCGGGGTACGGGTCCGCCGGCTTGTAATTCGGGTCGACGGCGCCCACGAGGTCCGGCGGCGCGGACTTGGCGCCCACCTTGGGGAAGTCCTTGGTCATCGTGGAGGTCGTGTTGGGGACATTGGGGTTGTGGGGCTTGTTGATCTCGTTCTCCCGGTGCTGGGGCGCGGTCGAGGGAGCGCGATCCTTCACAGCGCCATCACCGTTGAGACGAACAGCCGAGTTGCCGAAAGAGCGACGGGCAAAAGTGGTCGTCGTGGTGAGCGAAAGGGAAGATGCGGATGGCCGCATAAAGCGGTGGACAAGTCTGGATGCGGACATCGTGTCTGTGTGTCAATATCCCGGATGATTTACTGGGAGCAAAGAAAGAGTCCTGAGGGTAATGATTTTTTGATCGGACTCTGGGGAAGTCCGTCGGTAATCGAGCAATTGATCCGGCGAAGAAAGACCGGGTTGACATCATCCGTCGATGCGCCTGTTTGTTGTGTTTGCACGGCACGATGCACCAACCGCGACCTGCCGATTTCGAAAAGTGGCAGCTTTCGCCTCTGATGCTAACATGACTTCAGCCAGCCGAGGATTCCTTCTCATTGGGAAACTGTGGGAGCTGTTGGAGAGAAACGGTATCCTATTCGCTGATCCTAGGAGGATTGGATGCTAAGTTCATGTCTACTGTTGATAATCATTAAGTGCGACTCACCCACCACGGCTGTCATAGACTACAAACGATCAAAAAGTTGTATATCAATGCAATTGGAAGAAAGTCCATATATTGGTCATGACAAGTAGAGAAGCATCAACCTGTAACCTCCTCCATCCCCACAAAATACACTCCAAGCTACAAGAAAGAAATCTAGATAAGGTGCTTGGATCTGTACGCAAAAAGAATGAAACGATTAGCCAACCCTTGCCCGAATCCAGATCCCCATATACGCAATGAAGCAAGAGAAAAGAAAAAAAGGAACATACCTGAAGTAGGCCCGCAGATAGACCACCTGCCAAGCGCCCAATCCAACCAACATGCCCATAGTGCCGAAAGCGAACCACTTTACACGCTCGTTCGTGCTCTCATTGGTGTCGCGCAACTTCTGCTCACGGGCGCGCAGGTATTCCATCTCGCTAACGATCTCCGCGACCATCTCCTCGATGCGACGGAGGTCGGTCTCGACGGGCTTGAGCTTCTCCTGAACCTGGATGCTGGACCAGTCGCGGGCGTCGGCACCGATCTCGACGTCGAGCTCGATCGACTTGTAGGGGTTGGGAATAGCGTCTGAGTAATCACCCCCAAAAGATGATTAGTTATGTATTCCACTGGGTACGTTCTTTCGGAAGTCTTGAGGGGAGAGCAAGGTGAGACGTACGGCGGGTGGTCAGCTGGTTGTCGAAGCAAACATCAAAGGCAGTGTCGGCAGGGGCAGTGAAGGCCTGGCGAGTCTCTCCGGCAATGTCCTTGGGACGACCGTGCTCATTGCCCAGGGCATCCTTGATCTATTCCCAGCATATATAGTTAGCTGATTGCTTGTTTCGACCCCAGTAAAGATCACCCGAGAATCACGACGAGTTCGATGCTTCGCTCGACCCAACGTCACAAGTATAGTCCAGGAGTTATTGCCACGTACGTGCATGTTGACCACTTGTCCGTCACCCTTGTTGCCGCTGACAATGGCAGTGACTACAACCAGCTGGTCCTTGAAGACGAAGTTACGGATACACCGTTCATTCTTTCCACTGACGGCAGACAGGTCAAACTTGAGGGCGGAAGAGAGTTGAACAAAAAGAAGGAATAGAAGGCCAAGAAGGGACCTCATTGTAAAGTGAGTTGCCGCCATTGTGAACGGCGATTGTCGCAGCAGCCGACAGTAAGGTCTAGGAAATTGACAACGAAGCTCGGAAGCGGCCAGTATTATTGATGCCACGCCGCGCTCCAGGGGACCGGGCAAGGCCGGCATAACATTGATCCGGTTATCGCCCCCCTTCCCGTTTCAGGTTGAATCAACAATGCCTACCAGTACCTTTGGCTACGTTAAGTGTTAGTTTGGATATCTTGGCCGCAGCATCGTACTTATACTTTATGCGATATGGCTATGGCTGAATGTAGTGACAGTATACGAAAGCCTTAATCCCTGGTCGCAGACACTATTCAATTGTGTCAGGCAGCTACATTATGTTACTATGTACAGTATCGGCAAAGGTGCCCTATTCCTCGATACAATGTAGGATATAAAGGTGACTCGAACCAAAAGTGATACCATAGGATGTAGATCCCAGATTGCAAGATTTTGGACTGGAATTAGTGGCCCTTGGGGTCATTGACACGAAAAGAAGAAGAAAAGCTGAGAATCCAGGGGAATCAACCAAGGGTAGAAAAGAGAATCGCTGCAAGCGAGGGGTGGTATTGTTCGAACAGAACATGGCCAACGAGGGTATGAAGATGTGAAAAGACAGAACAAGGAGTATTTCCAAGGTTAGGAATAGTTGTCATTATGGACAGGAAATGGTAGAGAATTGAAGGTAGAGGTATCATCATCAAAAGTCACAACGCTCAGAAAGACAGGTCATTTGCCAGTGATAGCATGTCGTGTTCAGGGTCGCAGAGAAAACAACAGCTGTCCTCAAAGAAAAAAGAAAGTCACGGTGGCATGAATCAGACCTCGATCTTCTTTCGACGTGCGAAAAGGCGCGAGAAGCCTGATTCCTTCGACTTGGTTGGGGGAGCAGTTTGCGTAGGTCTGGTCACTGGAGGCTCAGGAGGGCCAGTATTCCTGAGAAAGTCGGCTAGCGCACTAGTCTCGGTTTGCCTCTGAGAAACAGACGGTAAGCCGTAGGCAGCATTCATGGATCCACCAGACTTAGTCGTATAGTTGTTGTTTGCCCCAGTCATATAAGCATCGGACGCTTGGCGGAGGGAGCTCCTTGAAGGTTGTGAGAGGACGTTCTTCTCGGTAGCCGTGGTCCGAGTGAGCAGGGTCTTCACAGATGAAGCACCAACAAAGCCAGCAGATGAGCCCCGCCGGGTACCCATATTCGTAGTCAAAGGTTGCGGTGGAGCTGGAGACGCAGGGGGTGGTACGTTTCGCAGGAAATCCATCAGACTTTCCTCATCGCGCTTTGGTTTCGCGGGTTCGAGAAGATCTTCAAGGTCGTCATCATCCGAGTCAATTGCATAGGGGTCTCGTACGCGACGCTGCGTTCGTTTCGGTCGAATATCTTCCGAAATCTCCTTGCTATATGTGGTGGGAGTGCTGGACCGAAGACCTGTCTCCAGAAGGCCGGTGTGGGAGCCAACGGAAGTTAGTGTATTTGCCGTCAGCGATCCTTGCATACTCGGACGCCCCGACTCTAGAGCCTGCAATTCGTCTGAGTCCATAGTGTCGCGGAATGGCGCCACCGCACGTGAAATCCGGTGAGCTCCGGGAGTAGGCGGTCCCTCGCGGATAAAATCAATCAAATCGGAGGTCTGATCTCCTTTAGGGGCCACAGCAGGGCGTGCTTGCAAACGTGCACTGCTGTTACGAGTTGAAGCACTCACTGGTCTGGAGACCCTGCGTGAGACATCGGTCGCATCAGACACGCGGCGCACGCTTGATGGTTTGCCAGAACCGCTTTTGTCAAACCCAGTGATCGTAGGCGTACCTGATCCAGCAGAATCGATGGATGTCGGCGATACGACACTTTGCTCAGTGGTGGGCTGCGGTGGGAGTACAGCAGGCACCACGATCGGGGTGTATTTGGGTTGGTCCGATGATTTGCACTTGGACATGGGAGCAAGGTCCATGATGCTTTTGGAAGATGCGTGAGATGTTCTTGGTCGCGCGAGATCCGATTCAGACGGGGTGGTCTGCTGGGCTCGCCATCTGGGTGAATCAGGCAGCTGGTTTCACAATTAGTGGCATTCCTTGACGACTTGGGGGTTGACGGGGTCCAGACGTACCTCCATTTCTCTCATGTTTCTAGGAGTCAGTGTGAAGTGTAAAGTTTCCTCGCTACGGATAAGCTCATCCAGGCCGGTGGTGTCATCGAAAGCTGACTCCTGAGTTGACACCCTGCTTATCTCAGACGAGTTCCGCAGGCGCAAAGAGTTGGAATCCCCGGTACGGACGATCAGGCCTTTCAGCTTGCTTGAAGCAGATGATGAGCCGGACGTCACAGGACGCCTCTCGCGGCTGCTGCCGAAACTGTCCGAACGGCGCGGATTGGAATAGCTTGAAGATGCCACCGAGGTGGATGGTCGCCCTGACAGTCTTTGAACGGCGGCACGCTCAATGCCGGATTTGACAGATGAGATTCCAGGGCTGGATCGCCCGTAGCGATGATTGGTACCGTTGGAGAGAGGGCTAGATTTGGGTAGTTTCCGCGAAACGTCCGAGGAGGCGCTATCTCCAGAGGTTGAAACGGGCCTGGAGGCCTTGTACGAATTACCGTCATCGGTCGAAGATCGAGTGGTAGGAGGGGCTACAGACTCCTCGGATGATAACTCATCGAGATCGACAGCGGGCGCTACCGAGACGGAGTCAGCCCCTTGCGTCGGCGGTGCGTCCTCCTTAACCGTTGACCCGAACTGTTCATCCACCAAAACAGGAGTAGCAGGTGGTGACCGCTCTTCGTAAATCGATGGTTCTCGCATCGTTTTTGGTCGCGGTCGCTGCGTAGAAGCCAATCTGGGTCTCGCACGTGTCCCTTGGCCCTCGAGTAATTCTGTCTCGATCGGTGACGTTGGGGACACCGGAGTGATTACCTCGTGCGCCGCAACAGAGGTGGCTAGAACCGTGGTCGACTCCGACACTGCTTTTGTTTCTTCGTCTACTTGGTTCACGAGTTCAATAGCTTCCTCCTTGTGTCCCTGGTCTGCATTCCGCTCGTCATCTTCATCATGTTCGTACATTGTCTCCAAGCGCCGCCGCTCCTCGGACGCAGTCGGTGACGGTCGCTCTGGAAACTGCTCAGGTTCTGGAGTCTCCTCCCCGGGTCCAGCGTTGGGCAACGATCTTGACCGAGCATGACGGGTGATTGTCACGGTCTGTAGCTTAGGGGTAAGGGGCGAGTTGCCGTTCGATGATGGCGATCTTGGGGAAGGCAGTGTGAGTACCATAAGACTATGGGGACGAACTTTGTGGGCTACTACAGCCTGCATGGTTTGGATCTCGCCAGTCTCGAGCTCTGGCAGATACCCAGGGACCTCAATTTCCTGAATATCGTGGTCATTAAGCGGCAAGGGCACCAAGGCTGGGTCGACGTCTTTTGGTGTTTCAGGGACTGGCGAGGTTGCCGAACGGACTGAGAATTCATCCGCGGTGAAAACGCTGCTCTTCCTACTGCCGGTAGTGGTGAACACGCTATGACGGCGGCGCATTGATTCTCGTGAAACTGCCCGCGACAGGTTGGACCCTCGGACGCGTTTGCGCCATGTTCGCCAGAGTCGACCCAATGTCGGGTTCAAGGCCAATTTTTCCATGTCATGGTCCTCCACAACCAGTCGATCCATACTTGCACGATTGATTCCAGTCTCCATGGATTCTTCGGAATCCTGCTCGAGTTTTGTCGACAGTCGTGATCGAGCTGTCTCACCCGCGATGACCAATGCTTGCTCGCCCAAATGTTCGATAATCGAAGTCAAGAAAATGGCTGCGGCGGGTGTGATATTTCCTACGTGACTGGCCAGTCTTCGCGGGACGCCGTCCTCGTCAGCTAGGCCTTCCCGTGCGATATGCTCTTCCTCCTCGTCCTCTTCCATGTCACCCAGGCGCGTGTAAACCATACATCGCAGGCGAGTGAGCTTCCACGAACGAATCAGGTCGAATTCACCGCCAGGGGTCTGGCCGCCACGGAACTCAAGCTGCTCGTCTTCCGGGCCACCCAAGACCTCACTCAGCTCATCGTCCGCTGCCTCTACCACTTCCTTGGCGAGGCGTGGCTTCAGAACGTCTGCCACCGCTGGTCGGATGCAGGCCAACTGTGTCGACTTTGCTGCAGCTAGGATATCAAAGAGAAGGTAGTCGAGAAATCCGTTGAGGGCTGACAGAGCCTCGCGGGTCACAAAAGCACTCGCAGGAGAGCCCGGTCCATCTTCATCGGCAACAAAGTCGGCCGCGTTGAATTCCTGGTCTGTGGTGATAATCTGGGCTGCAGCGGAAGAGGCGATAAAAGTGGGCGGTGGTGTAACTACTGTGGGGGCGAGCAGATGGGCTCGGGGGAGTTGGGAGTCGCTGGAAATACTGGTGCTGCGCGAGCGCGAGACCGTCCTCCCCATCTCCGGAGAATCGGGTCCTTTGCTGTGCTGCATGGTCGCAATGCAAGGATCACATACAGTCGCAAAGAGGTCGGTCTGAAGAGCGCAGATCGAACAAAGAACACGGGAGCCGGGTGTATTATTATTCGGAGTGTCCAGCAGGCTTGGGAGCGAATGATGGAGACTTTAGTATCCTGAAACACGACAGAAACAGTTGGTCAGCCTTTGAACAATACGAAATGAGTTGCACAGCCCATCTTGGGGGCCTTGCGACTTGATTTGTTCTTTTTCGGGTACTGCCTTAACAGTGAATGTGGTGAATGTGGTGGATGTCGTAAGATGGCGTCAAGCCACAGAGCATCCGGCAAAAGCAATTATTAAAGCATAAGAAGAACAAAGGAAGATCGGGTAGAAGAAGTAAAAAAAAGCAAAAACTCGCAGTGCCAGCGGGAGGCGCACCCAGTCGCAAAATGGGGACGAGGCTAGAACGTACCCGTGTAACGAACCAACTAATAGAATGTAGTGTTCATGTCGCAGTACTTGAGTTCTGAAAGTAGAGAGAAAGCGGAATCCGAACGATCAATGAAGATCTGGACAAAGGTCGGGGTAGGGTGCTGTTGTAGTTTTTAAGGAGAGGGTGGTTCAGCGGATGGTCGGCGAGAAGCGATTGAGGGAGTAAGAGTGTGAAGTAGATGAGTTGTAAAAAGGGAAAGCGAAAGAAAGAAAAGAGGGGAAGAAGAGAGAGACAGAGGGAGAGGGAGAGGGAGAGAGGGGGTTTAGACAAGGTAGATGAGAAGGGAGACAAGAGAAAGAGTGTGAATGAAGGACCTTATGGGAGGTGGTGAAAGTTCAGGAGTAACAGTCAAGCCATCAGTATGATTAGTTTGTATGTATGTACAGTACTGTATGTACATAGAAGTGGCAGCAGCAGCAGCAGCAACAGTCAACAAATGTGAATGGACAACTGCTCCAGCCTTCACCGTCTCTGTAAATTAGGATCCGAGAAATTCTTACAATTTACAGACAGACGCAGCAGCGGAACTAAAAAAGTGACCAGCAAAATCAGGAGAGGTGGAACCCATCATCCGCTTCAATTCCACCAGGAGGGTCAACTTGGGTTAACTTGGGTCAAGAGAAGCAAATGAACATCGTTGTGGTGTGGGGACTTTGGGGGAAGAGGAACCACCAACAACGCTTTGGCTGCACAGGAACTGGAACTGGAACTGGAACCGGAAGGTAAGTAGTAAGAATAGGTGATTTCCCTTTTTCCTTTTTCTACCGAAGACTGACTGACTTATCATTTACATCGTCCAGGCTTCTCCGCTTTGTGAATCGCATGGGTTCACTGGAAAAAGCAAGCTCCTCATGACTTATGACTTGTTAAAGTTTCCAACCAGTCCATCATTCTGATTGAACCCCCACGAGTCGGAATGCATCAAGCACGAGGGCTTTGGCAAGATCGACATTGGCCTCGGTGTCGCCACCGACTTGAGACCTTCTCGGGTCAGGAACAGCTTGGCCTCAGATATCGGTTTCGGGGAGAGCGTCAATCCATGGACGGAGCACTGCGATTAGTTCACCCGACAAGCGGCCAACACCAAACCATTCCACGGTTCCTCCCTCGATTTCGATAAACATGAGCCGTCTGTTTTTCCGAGCATCATCCGAAATCGTGGTTGGAACGTCCGTTGGTCATGATCATGAGGCTTTGAGCATGTGAGAGAGAGAGAGAGAGAGAGATGAAGACCAAATACCCAGCATCCGGACCCCTACCATAAGCCATCAGCATCCAGGAGAAATAGCCAGTCAGTTGCGACTAGAAGCAAATAAGAAAAGGCACCGAAGCCCCAAGAAAACCGACGATCGCCAGAGCCGAACTAGTGAAAAAGGCCCCACCAGGAAGGCAGGGAAAAGAACCCTAAAGGATTAGTCACTCACTAAGAGTCACTAAGGATGAAATACCGTCCCAACTGCAGGGGCACGAGGGGCAGTTTAAGGGGGCGCTACTGCAAGCCGACTGGAATGTAAGCCTCTCACATTGTCTCTTTGCTCTGGCCTCTCGTAGCGAGCCGTGTCTCATGCTTTATTATATCCAGTCATGTTAAATTGACTACGGAAGAAGTGCAACTGGATTCCACCTCCGAAGTACTCAGAACAGGTGAGAAGTAATAGCACTCTAGTAATTCTACCGGATATGACCGAGGAGACATCAACCTAACCCCAAGGACAAAATCCGTCCGTGATCCCGCTCCAAGTTTCGGTTCCCCCCCTCATCTCTTCCCGAAATCGGTCTCAAGCCCAGGCACCATGGAACTCAAAATCTGATTGCTACTATTATTCCCCCCGGTAAGCAAATCATGGCTATGGCCACTGTCCGGTGGCTTGCAAGACCAATTAAGCCACTATCATCACAGGCGCTGTTTCAATTTTCAAGAGAAACGGATAATTGTCCAGAGATGTTCTGCATAGATACTGTACACAATCAAGAAACAGGAATAGTACACTCGACTCGGAAACACTCCCTTGACACCTTAGGTTGTGTCCCTCGGGAGGAGAATAGGAGGCCGCGCAGTCGGACAGTGATCTTCAAGCTGACAAGGGAGATCACTGGTGGGTGCACTGATGATGATCGTGGGACATGCCTCTCTGGTATTGCTGGTTTCTCCATACCCCATATACTACTGGATTTTGCTGTGGCCTGCGGGGAGGATTTTGAAGGTTCAAAAAAAGGACGCCTTGACAAATTGCCCGTGTCAATCAGCTTGCTATGCGCCTATGCCTCTGAAGGGCTCCTGACAGCACTTTCCTTCTCGAGAGTTGATAACACATTTGATCTGCTACAGTGCTCCGACAGTTCGCGAGTCAGGAATCCCCAATCCCCCCTACGTACTTTGACTTTCGCAGCCTCCCACCTCTTGCCGTTCACACGCGGCCCTCGAGACTAGGGCCAGAGATTTCAAATTCTATTTCACCATCCCGTTCCCACTTTTGTCTCTCTTTTCACACGAGTCACTTATCATTCCCACGATCTTGGATGGTGAGTAAGTTCGACAAGAGACGAATCAAGCACCTAAATATCGCCTGAATCCCTGCTCTTCTGCCTCGGTGGGACCGGTGAACTGGCACAGGGATCCAATCAGGGAGGGGATCCATTTCCGTTCTCTCCCCAGCGGTTCAGGCTGGTTCACCTGCACCATGACCATGTCGTGCTCCCACACCAATGGTTCCGATTCAGTTGAAAGCACAGTAGGCCCCTTCCGGGCAAGCCAGCGGGTAAGAGACATAGTTAATCGGGTACACCTCACCGATGGCCGCCTATGATTGGGTTCCAGGCTCCGATTTAATATACGATTGTGGGAACGTATCAACAGTCCACTCTTCAGCTGAAGTGCATCTCGAACCCAGGCCCATTGCTGGTGGAGGCGGGCGCAATATATGATACGAGCTGAGGGGGGCGTTCCCGGCTGGGTTTTTGAGTACTATCGATTTTGCCTAGACTAGGTGCTGCTATATTCAGTACTACCAGATCAACGTTTCCGTGGGTGGTGAGATGGATTACCCGATATCAGTCCGGTAGGCGAGACATCAAATGCAATAAGCAACTCCAGAACAAGCCAGTACAACACCATAATAGCTCCTATACTATAATCCATGGATCGTAGCTTCAAGATCTCGAATTACATCATCTGAGAGGCTTGTTGCTTCTTCGGTCCGTCAACCAGACCGGGGATGAGGCTGCCCCGCTACATACAAAAACCCGGCTGAATTTTGAGATCCCAACTTTCGACAGGTGGGCGATTGGTGCATTTGAACGCTTTTCCATGGCTCCTCTGGCCGATTGAATCCAGGTCGCGGAACTTTTGACCATATCCCCACCAGATCAGCACACAGGATCCCGTATGGATGGATGGATGACCTGGAAGCGGCTGCTACACCCGATAGCATAACTAAGCCCACAGGTGTATCCTCAACCCCAGAGCGCAACAACTAGACCTAAACTCCCCAGTCCGCACATGTAGTCACTACTCAAACCAGTTACCCCGTAACTACGAGCATTACTGAAACCCCAGCTAGCACCCCGCCAAGACCACCTTATCTCCCTACCAACTATAAATCCTTCCCTGCGTGCATTGACCTCGACGACACTACACACAAAGTACATTACATGCAGCCCCCAACCCTACGCACAGGGCAGGCAGGCAGGCAGAAAAGCAGGGCAGCCACCGTTGGAGCTGGAGCTGATACAAGGCCATTCTACTGTAGTCCAGATGAATCCAATTAAGGCGCCCCCAACCGGCCCCCATACATGTATAAATGGACCCCAACAAACAAAACACGTTCGTCAACCTGGAAGCCACCATAACATGGATGTCACCCTCAATCTGGCAACAAACAGGCCTTTCCCTATCAACAAGCAGTAAGCGGTAAGCAGCCAGCCATTCACCCACTGCTTATACATGCATGATCGATCAACCAACCAAGCACAACACAGTCCAGACATCATATTTTTGGGAACGTTGGCATAAAGAGGACAGGATTTAAGCGATACGTGCAGTAGCGCCTGAAGGATGCTGTGATGCATCGAAAATGTGTGTTTGCATGAATATGCACATGTACACACAGTACAAGGATATGCTGGTAGTAACTAGCGTGCAGGGATCAACTCTCAGCACCAGGAGTTTCAGATCGTATGATGTGACTGGATGTATCAAGTTTCCGTCGCATTCCTCCCAGCGTCATGTCCTGCAGTTGCAGTGGCCCTTCCTCCCATTCCCGATAGAGCATATGCCGTAGGTACAGCGACTTCTCTCCACTTACAACCCAACAACTCCTTCACCACCATCACGGGATCTGATCTGCTCAACAGGATCTGACATCAGCGCATATACTGTACACCAACCCACCCTTCTCGAACCCAACACCCACACTGTCAGCCTCCCGTTCGTGACCCAAAGCGGATGTAGCACGACGGACTCCCCGAAACCTTTGATCTACGCATCCAAAGCATCCAGAGCCTCGCTCTCACCTCCCTCTCTCTTCCCTCTCGCGGTTACCTACGTGGTAATCTGGGATCCTGGCGTCTCAACTACTAGTACCCATCCAGGGTTTAGATCCCTGAGATGATTGTGCCGTCTCCAATGGAGAAACAGCACAAGGATCGGTTGATTCCTATGGGCGCAGAACTCAATCAGTGATCGACCTGGTCTAGCCCTGCGCTCATACCGTTGGCACCCTCTTACTTCAAGTGTTTCAGTTTGATCGGATATTGCCAGGGCGAGGGGTGGACGTGTACTGTAGTGCACTGGGCACTGCATAATTACCCATGAGTTACCAGTATTACTGTGTGAGTATAATAAATATGATTATGTGTTATAGCCAGCGCCAGCGTTTCGAAAAAAAATTCCTGAAAAGCGGCAGGCAGGGTGGCCCAGGGGGGGGGGAGGGGGGGGTGGCCTTATGCGTGGCAACTAAGATCGACCCTGTCGTAGGGTAGCTATATTCTTCTCGGATTATAGGCGCAATCCTGTCGATATCAGGAGTTGTGCTTACTTACTACTGAATGAGTGGTGGACTGCACTATACAATGCCACTTGTCTACGAAGTTACGTTTGATGAGATATTAGAAGAAAATTCTGGGTTTATAATCATTAGCGATGCTAACTATCCCCGGTCGTAAGTTTTTGCGAAATGCTTGTGATCTTTAGCTAGGCGAATGGAATAACAACAGTTTAAGCCCTTTGGACATCTTTCGGCTCTTGGCCTTCTTTTTTTTTATTTTGAGGGGGTTTTTGTTTCTCTTCGTGGTTCTTCATGGACAGCGTATCATATTCATCGCGTCATGTAACTGGTCCAGTGGTCTAGAGCGTAAGCAAGCCCACTGGTGAAGAAGCTCAACTCGTCAGGCCCGATATTGACGGCATCGGAGGCCAGTCTCTCTGAGAGGATATTCTCAAGCTTGGTCAGAAGCTTCTGGCTGATGGTCCCACTGGGCCCGGTGGAGCTGCCCTTGACGTGGCTGAGGTCAACAAGTTCGTTGAACTCCTCCTCGGCGACGATGTTGCGGAAGACTCCGATAACGTGGTTGAGCGCATTATCGATGTATGCACCAGTTGTGCCATCCTCATCTAGGTATGGCGTGTGTGCACGACCAGACTTTATATCGTCAACGCGGCTGCGAAGGCGAGACTTGTACTGTGGGTCGGTGAGCCCGTTGATGCCATTCATGTAGGCAACGAAGAGACTCTTGTCCAGGTCAACAACATCATCGGGGTGCTCTTCCGGGAGCTGCTTCAAGGTTTCCAGGATCAGACTATCGTCGTCCTCGCAGTCCTCAGGGTGGTCGCCAGGCCCTGTACCCTCTTGTAGCCGCAAGCTACCAGACTTTCGTGCCATCTCCATCAACTCGTGGCATGTCAGTCCGGCCTCGGGGCTTTCATCGTCTTCCTCTAGCTCTGGCGCTTCGATATAGCATATGTTCGCGTTGAATTGAACATGAGCTCCGCCGAATTCAATGATGAACGAGCCGTCTAGTGACGCGACATCGTCGTCTTCCCCATCTGATTGAGACATGATGTCAGAAGCTTCATCCCACTCTGAGACTTCACACATGTCATCATCCGATTCGTCAAAACTGTCATAACCGTATTCGGATTCCTCAGATGCGTAGCCAGACTCTGCTTCTTCTGCTTCGTCTTCTTCGATTTCTGAATATGGTCTTTTCAGAATCGGCTTCAAGATCGACTGGAGAGGCGCCGCTACCGCGGGCACCAGAGAGGGAGCGTCAAGAGTATGGACAGCAGTGGTAGGTTTTGCGGGGGCAGAGTATTCATCAGAGGCATAACAGCTGTCATGGGAGATGGAAATTTCCAGCTGGGAGAATGTCGATGACAAGGACTCCCATGACTTCCTGTTCATGTTTTGCCTGCTCATGGCGATGCGATGAGTGTCCGGATGCTGGCCGGCTTCCCCGGATATTCCGCGCCGGTAGCTCAAAGGACTGGTTTGTCCTGTGAAAATGAGATGTAAACTTACAAGGTTTAGATCCCACCCGTACCTGTCTTGGTGACTGGCGACTGGGAACAGAGATGTTGCTTTATAGGATGTGAACAAAGAAAGTTTTTTGCACGTTCAAACCGTGGCTTTCAAGGCCCCCAATGGTTTTGAAGGAGTCCATCGTGAAGCACAAAAAACTGGGTGAAGAATTTCACCTAGTGAGAGCCAGCAAGGCCCTGAACAAAGATAACGTTGATAGACATGTTGGTTTTCAATTAATTCGCTTCAAAGTTCAATGTTGGTAAAGGTTGTGACACATGCACGCGTAGTCGTTCCAGTTGTATGCAGTCAGATGACAGTATTTCAATCCTCCTTCCTTCAAAATGCAATCGTTTTTGATGGATAATTTCGAGTGATACATATAGACTGTACGACTGTGGACCGCTGGGTTTTGAGCGACTAGGTCAAAGGCGCAGAGTATTGTGACGAAAGATCAAACACTGCGACGCGTGGTGGCTGAACGTACTCCTCAGTATCGAGGGTGAGCAATGAAGATCTCGACGGTGGGTGAAGTGCCCAGGAAGCGGCAGATCGATTCTCAGCGAGGGGCAGGGACGGATGAACGACGCGCAGGCGCTAGAATCTTATGCCCACTTTTTCGTTGGGGAGTGGTTGGTGATGGTGAAGCGGGGGCAAAGGGCGAGGAGGCGAGGGGTAATGAGCAAAACCCGTCGGCAGTTCTCGCAGACAATATCTTTTTAAACAGGCATATGCAGCTCGACGTAACTTCCAGGTCGAGAAGGGTCTGGAAAAGATGAGAAATGGCACCGATGATAGTGCTTGGGCAGAGGAAAGGGATTAGAAACAGGGCGAACCTCGACTGTCAGATTTCCGTCATCACCGGGCACCTGACTTGGGCTTGTTGCCTCTCCTTCCGGCCTGCATGTCGGCCCGGCTTCGGAACTTCCCGGAATAGTTTAGCGTACAGGGATTGCACTCGCAAATCTGCCGGATCGTCGTCATCCTGAGTCAGCACGGCAAATCTCGAGTCCGAACCGCAGTCAGTGTATTGTACACTGCAGTACTCTATCATAGAGCAGTCCACTATGCATCACCATGACCACGATTTGTCTATTGATATGTCAGTTCAATTTATTCTTTGGTTATAGATGATCCGGAATAACGAAGATCTATGTGTGCAAAAATGCAGGGTTCCATTAGGTTACCAGTCGGTGGGTGGACCTTGCCGTTCCTGTGGATGCGTAGAATCCGACTATATATTTCAAGACGACCCATTACCTTTGGGGGAGAAGAATTTACCACTTCTAATTCCAGTACTCCTCAAGATAACATATTCGGTAATCGAATTCATTGCGACACCTGGCAGAACGCCATAGACTCATTCTGCTTAGTTCAATAACTATAGTACATACACTCTAAAGTAGGTAATATACAATGCCGCTCGAGCTGACACAAGGTGTTTGCAAGTCCCTGCACCAAAGAGTTCTCGCCATGCAAGACCAGTGCCTAATGCACCTCTCTTTATACAACGGCACGGCTCGATGACTCCTCGATCTGGCGAGGAACGCTGATCAGTTCTCATGACTCCTGAAGTAAAATGTAGACAGAGTGGAGAGGGTGATTTCGGCAAACACCAAGACGGCCATCCAGGATCTCAGCAGCTCTGAAGGATGCACGGCTAGTCTGGTAGCATAATCCGCACCATGCACGCGACTTGGGATCGTAATCGACGACCAGGGCGATTAAGGTCGAAGTTCGAAGCAACAAACCAGCTCATCTCTGGGAAGAGGTCGGACTCCAAGAATCCGGCTGCCACTTCTCACCAGGTCCACTGGCGGCCTTTGCCCAAGGGTCTTGTTTTGAAGCTGGTTTTTCCTTCTTCTCGTTCCCAGGAGCAGCAGGGGTAGCCTTGGTAGCCTGCGCCTCATCCTTCGGAGGGTTCAATGTCGCATCGCTGGTCTGGGTAGCAGGGGCGGGTTGCTGAGTCTTCGGCTTATCGAGATAAGATGCCTTGCTCGCCCACCGTTCATCGGCGAGACGAGCCAACTCCTTGAGTTGAATCTGTCGGATGATGTCCTGTTGCTGTTCTTCGATCGACGGAGGCTCCGCTCGTACGTATCGAAGCCATTGGTGCCATTGTGCTAGACGAAAGAACAGGTCAGTTTGCTGAGGGACTTGCCTTGGGAGTTGAAAGCGCCACTGCAGGCTTGACCAACGTGGAGGAAACACTTACGGCTGACTTGGACATCGGAGAGGTGGGTTTTGGGGTCACATTTGACGATGCGACGATACCGATTCGCATTCAGGGCATCTTTGAATTCCCAATAGGTGTTTCCCTTCAAATCATGGCCTGGGATGCGAGGCTCAAAGTCAGACTGTTGTTGTATTCATGCGGGTTGACGGAGCGGACATACCGACGAGAAAGGAAGTGCGCCATGGCAATTTCAGGCTCTTCCACTTGAACCAGAGACTGTTGATGGGACTCATTTGCCCGACGCAAATCAGAAAGTGCCTGGAAGCAAAGATGTCAGGCAGCAACGGGGGCGTGTGTGAGATGAGATGCGGTATTTCATCCACTCAGAAGGGAGTGATTTGGGATGGCAATAATCAATTATTATTGCGGCCGGAACGTCATCGGCGCATACCGGCCGGTAACTTACGAGCAGGACGAGAAAGACCATATTGGCGGCGTATTACGAGGCCAAGATTCCCGCATTCCGCCTGTTGCCTTCGTTTTCCCTTGCTGTGCGACTGACTGACTGACTGACACTGACTCTCTTCTCTACTTTGACTTTCCTGTCCTCATCGGTCTGCTCTGAGCGTGTCTCTTTTCTTCTGCTGACTTGCATATAATAGTCTTCTAGTTCAATCATTCTGCACCTTCACATTCCATTCCAATCTCACATCCGTTCGATCCGCGAGTCTTCTCCTAAGCCACCTTCCCCCCCCTGTGACGTACCGCGGTTCGTCCCACTCGCAGTTAGGCACTATATAAACAGAAGCCCTACCACCTGCGCCCCCCCCCCCTTTCCACCCCTATTTCAGCGCTGACTCGCCATCTTCGGTTCTTCTGGAATCTTTCTACATGCTTCACACTTCTGTGAGCAAACACGGCTGAGCGTGGTATTCAAAAAATGGCCTCCGTCACATCCCTGGATAAGGACTTGCGCAACCTGCGCTTGTCCCGCTATACCCCGCAAGCAGCCGCGGAAGTCCGCAGCTGGATCGAAGAAGTGCTCCATGACAAACTCCCGGCAGGGGATCTTCTGGAAGCCCTGAAAGATGGAGTGGCTCTTTGCAGGTAAGACCCGGAATTCTGTCCGAATGAAAAACAACCTTCTTCCGTATGGGAATCGCAAACTGAACGCCAGCCCGCTCACAGACTCGTAAACCTCGCCGTATCGCCGGGCGTCAAATACAAGCAGTCATCCATGCCGTTCGTGCAGATGGAAAACATCTCGCACTTCCTGCGCGCCTGCCAAATGCCCCCTCTCAGCCTTCCCCCGCATGACGTATTCCTGACTGTCGATCTCTACGAGGCCAAGGACCCTGCCCAAGTGCTCCAATGCCTGACCTCGTTCAGCCGACGGGCCAACGCTCTCCAGCCCAGCAAATTCCCCTACGCCATTGGACCGCAGGCCAAGGGCAGCTCTCTCAGTCCACATGTGACAGGGTCCAGTCAGGGAGGTGCCTATACCCCCACCAAGTCGCTCGGATTGGGCGGTAGCAATTCGGGTCGTTCCAGCCCAGCGCGATCTCCGCAGCCGGTCAGCACCTGGAGCAAGAAGTCGGACGAGCACAGCACGGCCCCGGCCTGGAACATTCACCAATACGGCTACATGGGCGGAGCCAGTCAGGGCAACCAGGGTGTTGCGTTCGGCGCGCGGCGCCAGATCACCACCGCCGCGCCCCACGTCCCCAGTCTAGCAGAGAAGGAGAAGCGCCGGCGGGACGAGGAGGAGAGAAAGCGGCTGCAGGAGCTGGAGGACCAGCGGCGCCGCCAACAGCAGCAGGAAGCCGAGGAAGAGCAGGCCCGTCTCGAGGAAGAACGCCGCTGGGAGGAAGAGACGGCGCGGACGCGCGAACAAGAGCGCCTGCAGGTGGAGGCGGAGCGCCAACGCTGGGACCAGCAAAAGCGCCAGTGGCAAGAAGAGGAGGACAAGCGTCAGCAGGAGGAGCGCGAGACGGAGGCACGGCTGGAGAAGGAGCGACTCCAGCGCCGCGAAGCGCAGGACAGCCGCCTCAACGGCCAGTTCCTCAGCCAGTACCAAGCCAGCATGGTCGCCGGGGCCGGCAAACCCGCCGCGACGTCGGAATCCCAGGAGCGACACCGCATCCGCCAGCTGGAGCACGAACTGGAGCGAGCCAAGGAGCGCGAGCGGCAGTACGAGCGCGAACGGGATGATGCCACCCGCGCAAAATCCCCGGAGACCGCACGGAGCCCGCGCCCGGTCCCCGTGCCCCCCAAGCCCAGCTACGATCTCTCCTCCCTCGAGCAAGAACGCAGACTCCTCCGCGGCGAGTGGCAGAAGCACCACGACAACGACCAGCAGCAAGACAACAACAACAACCTCCCCACCCCAATCGCCGAGAGCCCCTCCAGCCCACCCCCTCCCTCCCTCCCCGCGCGCCGCCCTCTCCCCGAACCCACCCCCACCGAATCAAAACCCCCGGCAATGCCCCCGCGCCCTCTCCCAGATCCAGCAACCTACACCTCCCCGCCTCAATCCCCCATCCGCAAACCCGTCCCCGTCCCCGGACCTGCCTCCCCATCAACAAGAGTCGACCGCTTCCTCACCACCAACAACCCTCCCACCTCCCCAAAACCGACCACCCACCGCCCCGCCGACTACACGACGACCGCCGAGGTCGACGCCGAGGACAGCCGCCGCCTCGCCGCCCAGCAGAAGACTAAGGCCGGCGGCTGGGCCTCCAAGTCCCTGCTGGAGCGCGAGATGGAGCGCGAGCGCGAGCGCCAGCGCGAGTGGGAGGTGAGCCAGAAGCAGACCCAGGAGGCCGCCGCCCGCGGACTGCGCGACGGCTCGCTGGGCTCCGGCCCCGGCCAGGGCGCCTGGGACGTCCACCAGTACGGCTACATGGGCGGCGACAACCAGAACCGCGGCGGCCCCGGACTGGGGGTCGGCGGCGCCCGGAGGCAGATTATTGGGCCGCGGCCCTCGCCTTGATCTTGTTGCCTGGACACTCACTGTGGTTGCTTAGAATTCTCGGAATACGTCTGCGCTGGGGATGTGGTTGGGAATGTAGTTGATAGGTAGCGGTTGGCTAAGATCTGGTGGATGTTTTGGGAGATCTAGTGATGGATGGAGTGGAGGGGGTTTAGTTTACTGAGGATGTTCCTTATTTTATACCCGTTTTCTATTGGCTGTCAGCATGGTAGCTACTATTTGGAATTGATATGCATTTGGTATGCGGTTTGTTGGTTTTGCTTTTGTTGACTGGTCGAGTTGGAAAGGAACCCTGGCTTGGTGTGGTCTGTAGTACGAATGTTTTCTTCAGATGAACAACAAGTAAATGGAAGAAAGAGAATCAAAACTGTAATTCAGATCCTCAAATCAAGAAACATCATCTCTGCTACAATCACAACAACAGGGTATCTATCTGACTATTCGAGAAGAAGCACTTCCTAGGTAAATTCGCTCGGAATAAAAAAAAAAAAACAAAAAAAACAAAGAAGAAGAGACAAACACGATCAACAGACATAGGCTAGGCATGAGAAGACAAACTATAATTGCCCGACTCGCAGATGCAAACGCTTATGACCACCACCTACAATCAATCTTCGCACTAGGAGCCAGGTCTTTCAAACCGTGGCGACCGTCATCCCATGATCCTCATTCCCCTGCGTCAGCGGAATGATCTCCTCGACCAGGAACCACAACCTCCGCCCGCTCTCCAACAGCCACGCCCACTCGATGTCGCCCGCATGCAGGTCGGCCTCGCGCTTCTTCCTCCCATCGTGGACCGGGCGCTGCTCGCGGGCCATGATCCCCTCGCCGACGGCCTCCTTCAACGCCGGGGTCACGGTCAGCATGTCGTTGTCGGCGAGCAGGATGATCAGCGTCTCCAAGGTGATGGAGATCTTGGCGTTGTCGGCGGGGGAGTTCGTGTTCGCGCCGTAGGGCAGGAAGCAGTATTCCAGCTTCGCTTGGCTGAGGTACTCGTCCGCCGTGTCGGGGGCGGCGGACTCGCGCATGCGGAAGAGCAGGTACTCGCAGAGGGTGGTGAGGGCGGCCGGGGGGAAGTGCGGGAGGGCAGTGGGGCTGACGAAGGCCTGGTACGAGGGGAGGGGCAGGTGGCGGATGTTCTCGGCGTACAGGTGATACAGCTCTTCGAGCGGGATGAAGTGTTCGGGGATGGTTTCGGAGACGGTGGAGAGAAGGTGCATGAGGCGCTGGCGGAGGGTGAGCGAGCGCATGCCGCCGAGGGTGCAGGGGTCGGCGTGCATGGTGGCGAGGTGGCCGGGGGGGATCTGGTCGTCCGGGACATAGCGTTGAGAGGTGGGGTCGGAGTATTTGAACGTGCCTGTAGGTGTGCCGTAGTTTTCGGGCGTCAGGAAGTTTGCCGGGGTGGTGAAGATGGTAGGTTCTGGGCGAGTTTCTTGCGGGCGAGTACCTCGTCGGGCTCGTTTTGACTGTCGGAGGGCAACACCACCACCACCGTCTCGTCTCGACGAGGCTGGAGTCCCTGCGCCGCCGCGACCACGGCCACGACCACGACCACGACCACGACCGCGTCCTTGTTGAGGCCGTGGCTCGGCGTCTTCGACAATAATGTCATCTGTCGTGGTGGTGGTGTCATCGGCGTCAACACTGTCTTCATCCTCCTCGTCGTCGGTTAGATAGTCCCCATACTCTTCTGCGTCGATGTTGACCTGCATCCCGCGCTTCTTGCTATTGTGGCTGGACTTCTTGTGTTTGGTATGCTTGAGCTCATTCTCAAAGACCATTCGGAACTCGTTGGAGGTTGTAGCCCGGCCGTCGGCGAAGATAGATTTCACGATTCGACGATTTCGGCCGTAGGTGGCGCTAGCGCCTTCAATGTAGCGCACGATGAGGCTGTCTTTGAGTATCTGATCGGCTGCATCGTTTTCTTTGGTCCGGGTCTCTGACCTGCGATTCGCAACGTTCACATCATCGCTGTCCGTGCTGGAGTCCTTGATCTCGGTCCACTGTTTATGTCGCTCATTCCAGTCACTTTCGAGCACCTCGCACATGAACTCGAGCCAGATCCGCCAGTGTTCCCAGCGCTCGTGGTGTAGGACAGAGCAGTTGAAAGCCCAGCCGACGGCATGCCAGAAGTCCTCCGCACGGGACCAGATGGATTGTGATTCCCCCAAGTCGAGGTTCATCGGCGTCATGATATCCTCTGTCGCATCCGGCGAGGTGGGCGCGTCGTCGGCCCCGCGACGTCGGCGGCCACGGCGAGATGTTTCGAAGTGCGTGAAGGAGAAGGCGAGGCCGAACTTGGCGGCTCTGGGCCCAACGAGCGCGTTTGTGAGGCGGAGGAGACGGAGGGATGCATTGGGGGCTTCTTCCTCCTCGGCTGTCTTTGCGCGAGTGGTCGTAGAGGGGTGTACAAGGAAGGTCGCGGCGACAGCCAGGTGCTGAGGAGGTGGAACGAAAGCTGGCGTGGAAGCAATGGTACCGGCGGTGAGAATTTCCAATAGAAAGTTAAGAGCTTGTGTATCTGGTAGAAAATGTAAGCATCCGCAAACAAAGAAGTAGATGGACTGTGTCGAACGACACATACATAGCTTCTCTTCGAGGAAAATGCCGGAGTGCTGGACCAGCTCGAAGGGAAGCGGTTTAGCAGGGCGATAGAGAGGCATAGATGCCTCTGCACTTTCTAGGATAGCCATCAAAATAGCTGCAGAGGATGATGTATGAGTATATTGGAGAGGAAGAGATGCGATGCACGAAGAGAAAGAATCGCGCCGATAAAGGCTGATAGCCGGTCAAAGAAACGCGGCGCTTATCGATAGCCGCATCGGACGTGTTGCTTCACATCCCGCCTGCGCGCATTGTATGTAGCCATTTGTGGGTAGAAGTATGAGATGAATCATGGCCGAACAGGCTGTTTGACTTTCGTATGACCATTCATCTTCAATAGTAATAGAGTATGGCAGAAAAAACAGGTCTAGCTGGGCGCCAGGAGCATATGGTGAGAAGTAGAAAGAAAACAAAAACAAAAACAAAAAAGAAAGTGGCGCTGCCCGGAATCGAACCGGGGCTGGCACGGCCACAACGTGACGTCATACCACTAGACCACAGCACCTGTTGTTGTGACATCAGTCCCAATTTAATGTCCCAAGAGTCTTTTTTTTCAACTTGAGTAAAATCACTACACCTCGTGGACTGCAAGCCCACCTCTCCATCGCCTGGAATGATTGTCAATATACTTGATAGATAGACCAGCGTGCCTCCTTATTGGAAACAGTAATATCCTTTATTATCTGGGTTTTCTCAGCTATAGACACTTGATCACATTCCCAGACAGCTTTCTTAGATTGTGACCAATTGTCCGGCCTTCAATTGATGCCAGACTGTTGCATAGTGCAAGTTACATACTATACAGTGCGCATCAGTGCGAATCAGTCGGCTTTTTGCTATTTACCATACTCAGTTCTTTGCTATCTGTATGTGTACGTATACGTGTGTGTATGTTGTATTCTTGCCTCTGGTAGCCAGATGGGGCCGCGTGGTGGCAACCTCAACACATAAGACAGCCTTGTGTACCACCTTTATCCAGCTATGTACATGAATGTTGAAGCTCATACATGTCTCTCAATCCAGTTTGCCTGCGGGTATACAGGACCGATCCGAACTATATGTACAGGTGAGACCAGAATTGCCCTGCGTAAGTAGGATATACAGAACAGCTTTCTACACTGTTTTCCACCACAGCTACTTTTACATAGAAGCATCCCATCATGGCCATAAGCACCGGCCATACAGGGAACTACTCTCTCAGGACCCAGTTCCCACTGTGGTCTGCGCAAACCTTCCACCCCTCCTCAGTAGTCTTTACAGTTGATGATTTGCTTGATATATGCAGGTAATAGTTCATATATCTGCTACCAAGAGTCAGTTTCCCTGGCCTTGGCGCATTCTTCCAGTAAAGGACACCCTCAATACAGTCGATATTACATGATATATCAAACATGAGGTCCCACGAGCAATGCTCGATGCGAGCCGGCATGTTTTTGGGGAAAAGTATATAAGACTGTAGAAGAGTTCAGGTTCCAGCAAGATGTTGATCGCTCACGTGATGTTCATAATGGCGAAACACTGTTGCCATGAGTCTTGGTGAATGATTCCTTTCTCTTGTTGTGAATGTGTATGGCGTGTGAAGACGCGGGACATGTCCCCGCTGAGCTTAACATGTAAAAGCACTTCCAAAAGGAGTTATGCCTCTATATCACTCTCATCGACCTAACACCAACTCTCATGGTTCTTAAGAAGTGAGATCCCCTAACGAGTTTTACAAGTAGAAGCTGTTTGTTTACTGATCATCTATTCTACTCTAGGAGCACTGGATCACTCTGAGCCCCTTCGTTGACACGTTCCGCTAGCTGATCTTTAAAGCACGTTGGCTTGGAGTTAACTGCCTTGTGTGACAATTTTCGTAAGGCTGATATCGCCATTTGAAGTCGAACTCAAGTTGGTAAGACATCTTTCATAAGTTACTGGGTGAGATGGGTCTTTCCTAACCAACTCCATCAAGCCTATATCCCCATACCACAACAGTCTCCAACACATTTCACCGGCCATGGCAACAAGTTCCTTCCTCAAGTTTCCAAAGCTGCCCGCCGAGCTTCGTCTCAAGATCTGGGAGGAAGCCCTACCCGAGCTCATCGAACAGCCCCTCTACTTCTACAGCCAGCGCAAGACTACCCACGCCTACGACACCCCCGAAGACGATAGCTCCCTTGCGGCGGTGGTGCCCCAGAATATCGACGTCCAGCACGGCCAAGTGCGCCCCCGTACGGTTGAGCTCCCGCACTTGTTCGTCAACTGGGAGGCTCGCGGGACCGCCCTGTGCTGGGTGGACAAGCAAGACGCGGAGAAGCTCGCGTCGTGGATGAGACCGAAACAGTCCCCGTACCACCACCACCACCACCACCACCACATCCTCGTTCGTCCCTTCTGCCCGGAAACCGACACCCTCTACGTCCCCGCGGAGCTGTGGGATGAGTTCATCCTGGAGAAACGCAAGACGGAGAGTGTGCCCGGATACCGTGAAGTGGGTGGAGTAGTAGCACAAGAACCAGTGTTCATCACCTTCCCGGCCCCCGAGCGGGCGCTGCGGTCGGTGGCAGTGCCGATGAGGCTGCTCCAGGAACATCCGGGGAGCCTGGTCGGCGCCTTTTTTCGATGGCGGGGCGTGAAAGTGGTGTATCTGGTTGTCCATGGACGGGAGGATGACGAGAGACAATTCGAGAGTGATGCGATGGAAGGGAAACAGCCGTGGAGGTTCGAGGTATCGGGAGCCACACTGAAGGGGACGTGGGTTCCAGCGAACCGTGAAATGGAATGGGAAGCCAGCGGCAGCAGCAACAACAACAACAACCAGGAGAACGACCCCGACTTGGAGGAACTGAGTACGGTTATGCTCGGAACCCAGCCTTCGTTGACTGCGCTCTTCAGGGAGTGGAACTCTTCGGTTCACAGGGATTTTAGGGTCCAGCTTATTCGTGTTGTCAGACAGCGTACGTGAGAAGCTGCTGATGCGGGGGCATGAAGTCCGTGGGCAGTTACTGTGGTTGGTGTGGTTTCATTCCTCTGCAAGGTGTATCTAGGTCGTTGACTGGGGCGACACACAGGCCGTAGTTGGTTACTGGGGTTGACGTACAGTAGTTGCGACATGCCAATCCCTACACAAGCAAACACTGAGCATTCGGGTCCCACCTGAATAACAATTCTTGTCCGTGGTTGTCCCACGCCCTGCGCCTGATGCAGTTGGACCGAGGTCGTACACGGCTTGCATGCACGACGGCAATGCCGTGAAGACCAAGTAGTGACATTTGAGCATGTCGTCGTATCGTTGGAAATTTCAGCTCCAGACCGCCAATTGAGGGCTCTGCGAAGCGAGTAAAACAGGCTGTTGCATTGCGACAAACGCACACGTTTGCTCTGAGTCCGGACTCTTGTCTGCGAAGCTAGAGGACGTTGCCCATGGAAGACGTCAATGCGGAAAGCGGCTCGGCTCGTACCTTGACACGGACAGGTACTGTAGTCTTGTCACTTGTCACTCTTTATTGCTGCCGAGCCGCAACCATGAATGTGACCAGGTCAGAAGCTTGCCAGCGTTGGTCAATTGGAAGACTAAATCTCCGAGTGCTACTGTAGGATCGATAATCGTCCGTGGGAAGAAGGGCTCGGACGGTTTGCAGTATCTCACGTGGTTCAGCATCGCGCATAACCTTATTTCTGAGGTGCAGCCATGGGTTACACCGGTCTCATCGACTACAATCTCGAGCCTCGAAGGTGTCTTGTTCCAGGGCAGACGACGATGGATGTGCTCCGGGATGAAGAGCGGGAGGGGGAAATGTGCTCCCCTTTTGCTCGATTGTACAAACCCGGGGAGAATGGCGAGTGTCCAACATAAAAGCCCGGGGTTGGGCTCTTTCCCCAGGAAATGAGGAAGCACCTCAAAAGTTTTGATAAGTTCATCGAGAAAGCAAGCATGACTTGGCATACCTTTCTTCGACTCGTTGTCGTTGTGCTCGGTGTCCTTCAACCAGTCTGGGGTTTCCCCGCTGTCGAGGTTGAACGCGATGAGCCCCAGGCCTCAGACCGATATGTCTTTGCCCACTTCATGGTACGTCAAAGTGTCTCTCGCCCCTTTCACTAGTCCAGACTATCTCAGCAAAGCTAACTACCCATCTCCACAGGTCGGGATTGTCGAGAACTACCAAGTCGAGGACTGGATCGCCGACATGCAAGCGGCGCAAGCGATCGGCATCGACGCCTTCGCCCTGAACTGCGCCAGCATCGACAAGTACACGCCGACGCAACTGGCGCTGGCCTACCAGGCGGCGCAGCAGGTCGGCTTCAAGGTCTTCATCTCCTTCGACTTCGCCTACTGGACGAACGGCGACACGGCCAAGATCACCGCCTACATGCAGCAGTACGCCAGCCACCCGGCGCAGATGCAGTACCGGGGCGGCGCGGTGGTGAGCACCTTCGTGGGCGACAGCTTCAACTGGGGCCCCGTGAAGCAGGGCACTGCGCATGCGATCCACGCCCTCCCGAACCTGCAGGATCCAGCCGAGGCGTCCAGCAACCGGGCGCGAGCCGCGGACGGCGCGTTCTCGTGGTACGCCTGGCCCACCGACGGCGGCAATAGCATCACCAGGGGTCCCATGACAACGATCTGGGATGATCGGTTCGTCAAGGACTTGGCCGGGACGACTTATATGGCGCGTGAGTTTTCACCCTCAACTCTTCTGTGGACGTCCCCATGACGTGTGCATGCGAGGAACGTTGGTTAACAAAAGCGACAGCCGTATCGCCCTGGTTCGCCACCCACTTCAACAGCAAGAATTGGGTCTTCATCTGCGAGAACCTGCCGACCCTCCGGTGGGAGCAGATGCTGACTCTCCGGCCCAGTTTAATTGAGATCATCTCGTGGAATGGTAAGCACATACGGCCCTGTTGCTGCTGCTGCTGATGATGCCGGTATGTACACCCACCCTGAAAAATAGACTACGGCGAATCGCACTACATCGGCCCCTACGCCGCCAACCACAGCGACGACGGGTCCTCCAAGTGGGCCAAGGGCATGCTGCACGATGCCTGGCGGGACCTGTACCAGCCCTACATCGCCGCGTACAAGTCCGGGGCCGCCACCCCGCGGATCGAGAAGGACAGCCTGGTGTACTGGTACCGGCCCACGCCGAAGGGAGTCTCATGCCCGGAGGACAACCTCGGACCCCCGAACGGGATCTCCATGCTCGGGGACAGGATCTTCGTAGCGACCATGCTGACCAGCCCGGCGACGCTGACGGTGACCAGTGGGTCGAATGGTCCCGTGCGCATCGAGGTGCCCGCGGGGATCGTGACGTCGAACGTCTCGATGGGGGTGGGCCCGCAGACGTTCACCGTCAGTCGGAATGGGCAGACGATTCTGAGTGGGCAGGGCGGGTTGGCGGTGCAGAGCCAGTGCAACAAGTATTACAACTTCAACGTGTATGTGGGGAAGGTTGCGGGGGTTTGATTGTGTTGTTGGCTGTATCTGTCCCTGGTCATTGAGTCTAGGAGGCTAGCCAGGAACGCCGCTGGAAGGATGCCGCGACGATCGGGTTTAGTCTGACCTTGCTGAAATTGCTTCTGATAGTCTACGAATGATTTTATAACTATGTCGCATGCCCCATGAGCTATCTATTTTTACAGTAGTAGTTGCATTGCACTTGAGTACCATATCATGCGTGTGTGTTGATAGTTACTGACTGCACCAAAGCTTGAAGCCGGAGCCCGAGACAAACTAGGGCTAACAAACAACCCTTTTCTCGTATACCACACCCCTCGTATAGGGCCCCGTAGGCAAACCCTACAGAAAGCAACCTACAACAACACAAACATATATACTCAATCCCAAACAGACCGATACAAAAACCAGTCTCAAACTATACATCACTAAAGCATCTTTCATCTCCAGCGACAGACATATTTTTTGATATTTCCAAACTTATATTTCGATCTCCACACGAAAACGAGGGAGATTAGGTGTAGGTACTTATCAAGACAGCCCAGGTCATCGAAGCAGCTACCTACCTAGTACCTACCCAATACCCAACCACCAGGATACAAGCCTCCAATTACTACCATACCTCAATAGTAAGGTAAAGGACTCAGAAATCAAACATCCACCCGATCAATCAACAACCCCCACACCCCGCCCTGGGGATCATTATCCTCGAGCGTCCACAACCACCCCTCGACCATCCGCACCGCCTCAGGCGTCGGGGGCCCCAGCCCCTCGCCGCAGTCCGCCATCTCCAAGCCGCGGGTGTCTGCGTCCGCGTCCGCGTCCGCGTCCACCTGGCCGTGCACCTGACCGTGCACCTGGCCACCCGGCTGCGGCGGATAGTAATCCAGCTCCAGCAGCTCTCTGTAGAACCGCATCTGGTCTTCCCAGAAGATGACGCCGCCGAAGCGCCGCGCCCTGGGGTAGGGGTAGCGGTCGCGCAGCAGGCGCATGCGGAGGTGGAGCTCGGTCCTGGCCCGCGCCCAGCCGTCCTCCGAGTGCAGCGCGGTGGTCTTGCGGGGCCGCACGATCAGCCGGATGATGATCTTGCTCGGCCAGGCGTCGAGGAACGGCCGCCATCGGAAGTAGCAGGCCATCTCCTTGTTCAGCATGGTGGCGCCGGCACTACTAGTACTGGGGGTGGAGCTGCTGCTGCTGATGCTGCTGCTGGGGATGGAGCTAAACATTTTGGGGTGTCTGGGGGTGCAGCAGCTGAGGAGGGGGGGGGGGGATTATTGGTTAGTTCTTGGGGGGATTGGGGAATTTGGGTCAGCTTTGGATAGTCAGGTTTCATTGGGGAAACCTGGGGTTTTGGGGTTGGGGGTTGGGGGTTTGAGATGGTGGGTTTGAGCTTTAGTGTTGGCATGGTTGGCGCGGATTTATATAGTTTTGGGGTGGGAATGAGGTGGTGAAGTTCTCCTGTATCATCTCGTTATCTCCTGGCTTTGTGCAAAGGAAAGAGGTTGTGGGGTTTCGTGATTGATAAAGAAGCTGAGTTGATTGTGAGCTGAGTACAAGAAGTGCCGGTTAGGGGGGATAAAGAGTTTCAACTGATATTCTCCGGTATCAGATTTCAATCGGGATTCGAAATTCTGAGTGCATGCTGCTGCGACTTCTTCCAAGACGACGCAAGCGCGTGCCCCGCTCCGCTGAAGAGTTACGATTTGCCAAATCTCGAAAAGGAAACAGAAGGACACCAACATCCTTATCATCCTTCAGTGAGGGTGTTGCTTCCGAGGGCAAGGGTCCACGGCGTCGACCCCTTTCTCGATACCCATATCAGTGATCCCGAGGCTACCTTATCGTCGAACCGCGGACTCGACACTGCAGACCTACTCACAACAGAAATTACCAAGACAATGCACCAGGAAGTAATAATGGATGGGATCTATAGGTAGGTAGTGTGTAGTAGTGATGCTGGTGAGGATAGTTTGGAAACGAAGGAGAATAGGAGTACAATAACCCCTCCGTTTCTCCCCTATTTTTGGGTTCTTCATCTATTGTAGCCCGCCGTCCCCTTTTCACGCCATCGCCCAATCTTCTCTTCAAAGATGAAACCACAATTCAATTGTCTTTCCACCCCGGTTTCCAGTTGCAGAATGAGGAACCTCCAAGACAGTCCCTTCCTCCCCACTTCGCATGGAAGATACCCTGGAAAAACACACCGGTACAAATTGGAAAGATGAATGCCCCACTTGGTCTTCCCCAATTGTGGACGGAGGTCCGATCCCGATGGCTGACACTGTGGGGTGGAAGAAAAGGGGAACATGAAGGTGATGATAGCGAGAGATGTAGGGGAAAGACAACATAGACGCCAAGTGGAGAATATTAGCAAGAATGGAGAAAAAAGATAGGAAGGAGGACAAGTCTGGAAAATGAGAACATGTGAGTTTGGATTAAGATAAGGAAGTTCGATGAACCGGAGCAGAGAGCGACTACTCCTCGGGGATGTCAGAGAAGAGACCTATTCGCAAACGGTGCGACTGGCAGAGAAAGAAAGTTAGTACTGCGATATTGCCGCCTGAGACGGTGGGGCCAAACTCACGAAGGGCAACTTCGGGATGACAACCCCCAACGTAGCAAGGAAGTTGATGGTGAAATACGTCAGGTCGTAGTGGGTGTAATGCGTGCTGAGAAGGAAAAGGCAGATGGGCACGCAGAGCAGGAACTTCTTGGTCGGAGTGTATTGGTCGCCATTGTCAATCTGCTCCCACATGTTGAGGTTGTCGTACGCCCCGGCGTTGAACTCGAAAGGGATGCCCCGCACCCAGTGAAACATGAGGAAAGAGCCGAACATATAGCTGATGTTGGTGAGAGTCCAGGAGGTTTCTTGCGAGACGCCAGGAATAATGTCGAAGAGGATCTTCAGAGCCACGATCAAGACGAAGTGAATGGTCCAGGCACCTAGATTGTCGTCGTACAGACCGTCAGCCACCTCGTTCATTCTGTGCTTGACTGCCCGCTGAGATTCGCGCCCGCCTTCATGTGTCCAAACTCACCCTTGGCGTTGACCCAATTTGCATTCAGATTGGGGAGGGCAGCCTGGTCGCTGGTCCGCTCGATGGACTCGGGAGGCTCCTGATAAATGATACTGCTCGACCGTCTCCTCCGCCCAGCCTTGCCTGAAGACATATTGGAGTCCGGAGTCAGCCGGTGTCGGCCAGTGTCGACTTCCGGAGGGAAGGAAATGGCACGGGGAACGAGTAGAGAAGACACTTTGGCGGTATTATCGGAAGAGCAGGAGGAGGGGATAGTCGGAAAGGAGGAGGAAGAGGAGGAGGGAATCTTGGCACGAGGAAAGAGAGAGTCGCAGGTAGAGGAGTGGGAGTCAAAGAAGTGGGATGGATAGAAATCGAGAATAAGAGAAAAGAAAAGAGAGGGTGAGGTAGTTTGATCAAGGAAGACAACTAAAAGTAAGAAGGAGAGATAGAGAGTAAGTAGGTTAGCAAAGCAGGATGGGGGGGAAGGCCGATGTTCGACTGGACTTTCGATTAGAGGCGACGGCGAGATCTGAAGAGGATCCCCGAATGATGGATGGTTGGTCACGGGAGCACCGGTACCGTATTCCCGTTACCGGTTGTATTCTATTCCTGCTGCCCAGCTCAACTCCCAGCTGAATTAAGTTGTTACTGCGAGTAATTTTACAATCATGTAAAACAGATAAGGACTTGGAAAGGATTCTGAATGTAGTAAAAGCAAAAGGACACCAAGTACGATATGACTACGTCCCGAGATGCAGAAGGGAAAAAAAAAAAAAAAAAAAAAAAAGAAGATGACAGATGCCCCGATCTCCGAGGGGCTCCAGGAGACAGACAGACAAGAGAAGACTTGTCAATGGAAAACCGAAACAGACACAGACAACTAAGAATAGATAAAGCCAAACGAACCGACCGAACGGTCGGTCCGCAAGAATCCAGACGCGGACAGAGTCATTAGTTCCTCGGCAATCGATGCAGAGGCATGGTTCTAGACGCTCATCGATCTGCTGCAGCTCAATCTACAAGTCATAACTATATATGTTAAGTTGAGTTAAGAGTCTGGGAAGCAAATAATGCATACGGTCGTACGTAACCACCAAAATAAAATAAGATAATAGCAATGCTACTAATCTACTAATAATTAAGTGCCATCCCAATTGGGTAAGGAGAGAAACGGCGGACGGACTTCTGTAGTGGTTCTTACCGCCTTCCGTAAATTTCCCCAATCATGCTTCAACTTTGGTCTTCGCGTTGCACAAAGCACTTTCGACTCTTCTCCAGTCATCATCCTCAACTCCAACTTTCCCCCCCCCGCCACTGACGTTTCCTTCTCGCAGCATGTCTGCTCCCCCGTCCGATGACGGTGACTCCCGGACCGCCGCCGTTGGACAGTTGAATGGCTCCTCCGTTCGCTCCTCCCGGCAAAGTTCTCACGACCCGAACCCTCACCCTCGCAAGCGGCAACGACGCAATGGCGCCGCGGACGATCGCAAGGTCCAGGATTTTGTGCCGCAGGGAGCAACCTTCAGCGCCAACTCGCTGGAAGTAGATCCCGACGACGAGACGTCTTCCTCCGGCTCCGATAGCGAGTCTGTGAGCACCAGTTCATCCGAAGTGGAAGGTGATGCCGCAGACGAGCCGCAGTCCGCCGCCGCCGCTGCAGCGGCAGCACCACCCGTCAGTTGGAACAAGGGCAGCAAGAGTGCGATTCGGACGTCACTGCGCGGGAATCGCAATGCGGCCGAAGAGAACCAGAAGCCGGCTGCTTCGAAGTTCGACGCGGTCAATGACCAATTTTGGCGCAGCCGGAGTGCGTCGATCTCCTCGGTCAGTGACCGCGGCCACGCCGCCTTGGACAAGTCCGATCGCGACGATGAGATGGAGGAGGGCGAGGTAGATGAGGCGGAGAGCTCTGCGGAATCGAGCCACATGCAGGGATCAGTGGACTCGGATGATTCGGACTCGTTGGACTCGGAGGCGGACGACTCGATCTTGCTGAACATCGGCGAGCGGGGTCCCGGCCAGAACCTTGGTCAGACTCAGGATGGCATTCTGACCCCCGACGGCGACGATGAGTACGAGCCAGTCACAAATGGATACAAACGTCGCCGCGCACAAGACGATCTCATCGACTCCCCGAGGATGTCGAAGGAAGATGCACACCGCCGATACTCCCAGAGGTACCCGACAGCTCCCTCCGTCCTCGCCGATCTTCACCGGGAGGACATGGACTTTCAGGCGAAGTATAGGTTCTACGACCGTGACATCAATGCCATCGATCTCCAGCTCCCGATCGCCTGTACGGAGTGTTTACAGGAGGGCCACCTGGCTGAAGTCTGTCCCTCGAAGGAGGTATGCCTGCTTTTCCCTCAAATCACGGCCACCCTTCACTCCTGCACGCAGAGACAAGCTGACCTGAAACCAGTGCGTCCATTGCAATGCCTGGAACGAACACCAAAGCAGCCTATGCCCCACCTGGCGCCGCTGCCAACGCTGTCGCGAGCGCGGCCACGACGACGACACCTGCCCCTCCGCGCTGAAAGGCTCCGCCTCCGAGACCCCATGCGACCTGTGCGGCTCCTCCGACCACCTCGAACTCGACTGCGACATGATGTGGAAGCTCAGCAACCAACATGACCCAGCGTCCGGCCCCGTCCTCGTCTCGATCTCCTGCGCCAAGTGCTGCAGCAACCGCCACCTCATCGGCGATTGCCCCTCTCTCAAGAAACCCCTCCTCTCATCCACCTGGACCCTCCACGGCATTGACCCGGGCATGATCACAAACACCAATTCTGTGGTTAACAGCCGACGTGGCGGCGGGGGCGGCGGCACCCGAGGCGGCCAAGCGCCGGCCCCCCGCGGGATGAAGATCCGCGGTCGAGCCGACCAGCACCGCCCACCATCCTCCGACAGCGACGACATGATGAGTCGGCTGCGTCAGCAGCCCGTCAACCGCAGTAACAACAGCAACAACAATCGCGGACATATCCGTTTCGGAGCGGGCATCGGCACGAATAATAGAAATATTGCGCCGCCCGGTGGTGGTGGTGGTTACCGACAGCGGTCCCTGTCGCCGAACGGCCGTCCGGGTCGCGGTGGTCGTGGCGGCGGCGGCGGCGGCGGAAGAGGCAGAGATAGTTACCAACCCTCGTCCGGGGGTCGAAATGCGAGACCGCCACCCGCGCCCTCGCGTCCGGCCAGAGGCGGCGGCGGAGGACGCGGTGGTGGTCGGGGTGGGAAGAGAGGAGGGGCAGGGTCTGGTGGAGATGCGTACCGTCCGCCGCGGCGCTGGTAAGAAGGCCTGGGATTGATGCAGGATGTGAATGGTTGATTGAGTTGACACGACTGATACCCCCTCTACGAGTGGCTGCGGGGATAGATGCATGTTTGCGTATTTGGTAAAAAATACCCCGGGATGATTGTCTTTATTTTATCTGTTTGTCTTCGTATCTTCCCCCGAGACGGAAAGGAGCCAGGGCAGGCCCTTTCTCGCAAAGCATTATGTACAAATGCCACAAAAAGCCATTGTCTTTTCTGTCTATTGATCCAAATCATTGAGCCGATGCCGCGGCCGTGGGTGCATCGGTCGTGGGAACTTTGTTCCCACCTCTGTGACCGACGAATCCACGGCCCAAGATGTCGACCAGCTCATCTAAGCGCTCAATGCAGAGATCGGTATGCTCGTGGTCTTTCAAATGAGCATTGTGGTCGTTGAGGAGGAGCACGGTCGCGGCTCCCGCCGTATGCCCGGCCGTCATATCATCGAGGCTATCTCCGACCTAACCACGGGATTTAACATTAGCGAAACATTCAGTCCGTATCACTGAACCCTCACACCAGTCAAGGTAGAGGGGCGTAAACAGACGCACCATAATCAACCCCTCCCCGCCATCCTCCAACCCCCACTCCCTCGCAATATGCAAAATCCCCGCCGGATCCGGCTTGGGCATCAACCCAGGCGTCTCGCGGGTGATGATCGGCAGAAACACATGAGCCGGGAGATGATTCTGCAGGAGATTCGTCACGGGGGCCCTATTCGTTTTCATCCCACCGTAGTCAGCCTATGCCATGCCGAAGCTCCAAGACGAGGGATGAGAAAGCACAGAGCGAGCGGGAGAAAAGCAATGCCTACTCAAAATTCCGCGTACACAACGCCCGTCGAACCCCCCTCTGCTCCAGATAATCCATCAGATCCACCAGCCCCGGTTGCGGTTGCTGGTGGCGCATGGCCTCGCGTTCGATGGCCTTGATCTTGTCGGCGGCTTCGAGTTGGGCGGAGGCGGTGGGGAGGCTGGCGATGTGGTGGAGGATGTCGGTTTTTTTGTCGATGTTGAGGACGGCTCTGTTTTTTGGAGGTTTAGGATGGGTGGAGTTGGACAAGTATGCGCCGGGGGGAGGGGTTGAGGTTACCGCATCTCGGCGAACATGTAGTTTTGGGGGAGGCTTTGCGTGCTTTGTTAGATTGAATTGGGTTGGTTGAGGGAAAGGAGGGGCAGGAGGAGGAGGGGTAGAGTAAGTGGGTTAGAGTGGAATGAGCACAAATAACCGGAAAGCTCACCATAATGTGCCGTCGACATCGAAGACGATGCCCCTCAGTGCAGGTGCGGAGGAATTTCGCGAGCTCTCCGCATTGAGGGGAGCGAAGCGCCGTTGACGCAACGGGGATTGCGGAGCTGCTGCGGAGGAAAGAGTAGCCATGAAGCGATGGGAGAGACGCAATGGATTGTAGGGAGAAAGGAGCATTGAATCAGATAAGATTGTGAGTCAGTCCAGGATAGTTCAGGATGTTGGGGACAGAGAAAGTGGAGATGGAGAGAGGGAGAGAGCCTTGGGAGGGGGGAGTGCTGACGTTTGTGGGTCCGAGTGGCTCCGCAGCCGCCGATAAGATAAAGGTCATCGTCGATGGAATGCGGAGGCAATCAGTACTGCATGGTAAATATAGGATTCATGTCTCCTCTGCGCCCTTTGCTCACATACTCCAGATGCAGATATTTATCATCTACCTTGATCATGTTCATTGTAACTCAGTATGTAAGGATCAAATCACCGGGTGGTTCCTTCCTGCAATGCCGATGCACATCCTCCTCACTCCCACCACCACCACCACCATTCCCAAATCCTGCCTCCCTTACAACAAAATAACCTCGAAACCACACCATGGAAGCATTTACTATCTTTTTCATTTCACCACCCCCTCTCCCGATCGCCACATTTACAAACCCCAACCCACCTGCTCGATCGTCCATCACGAAAATGGCCTCTGCCCCGGGTGCCAGCCTCACTTGCGCCCTCCACCTCACGGCCACCATCCTGATGCTCAACCTGCTACTGTTCGTGGCATTTCTCCGTGATATCGACCCTTCGTCCGAGCTGTCCCATCGCAACGGCCTCTGCCAGTCCATCCGCCGCAAAGAGCGTCGCATCATATATCTCAGCTCCCTCATCCTGGGCATCGAGCCCGCCGACCCCTCCCACCCCGATGACCCCGAAGCGCATCCGCGCTATTCCACCGTCGACGCACAGGCGATACAGAGTCTAGCGACGTCTCCCACGGCCAACGAGCGAGTGAGTGGCTCCTCGCTCCGACCCAAACGGCCACTGCCTGCTGCGAGCATTCTCTCCCTGCGGCCGTCCAACCGCCCAGTGAAACGTAGTCGAGGAGACAGCGCCGTGACTAGCCACTCCGCCATTGGCAGCAAGACTGCGAACTCAGTTGTTGAGATGCACCAGCAGCAGCAGAACGTCGTCTGCCCGCCGCGGATGAGTGACTCGATCTACTCGGCCACCCTCAGGAGGAGTCTGTCGTTGGGGTCGGATCGCCGCCAGAGTATCGTGCTGCCCCACATCCGCTATTCCGGGTTCATGACGGAGCGATTGCGGTTCAGCGTCTTGAGCCAGCCGTGGTCGATGGTCTCGGTCGTCGCACCAGGTAGTAATGAGGTGCCCGCGCACCACCGCGCCGAGCCCGTCGTCGTCGAGGAGACGATGGACCGGTTGCAGCCGGCGTGCTCAGTGGACAGTTATCCGGGCCAGTTTCCCATCAGCGATGGGGTGGAGTTGAGCTGGTTGGCCACGGCGACGCAGCGTCCTGGTGCTGGACTCGCGGAGGATGAAGAGAACAACGCTCCCACTGTTGCTCCTGGATTGCAGACTTCTATGAGGCCCTATACCGAAGTTTAGGGTAGTGTGTGTGTGTGTGTGTGTGTGTGTGTGTGTGTGTGTGTGTGTGTGTGTGTGTGTGTGT